ATGGTGTACTCACCAACATCTGTCTTTAAAACTGAAAATAAACATTATGCAGAAAATGATGAACACCCCAAACCTGCGGCAATTTATCGACAAAACTCAACAAATATTTTACTTCAAGGGGCTGAGTTACCGAGATTAGACCATCAGTTGGGAATATTATTAAAAGGAAATGATCAAGTTCCATCTTTAGCTCCGCCAGTCGCAGATCTCAGCTATAAAGAGCTTGCTCTGAAGACCACTGTCGTGGAACACACAGCAGAGTTTGTGGATAGTCAGAAAGTTATTAATGACCTTGAGGAACAAAACTCTAACTTGGTTGAGGAGAAAACAAAGCTTTCTGTGCAGCTTGGTGTCCAGACTAAGGTTTGAACAAAAAAATAATAACTAATTGTTACCAGTAGTTAAAAAATATGTTTTCTGAACCCCAAGATCATGATCAGGCCACTCTTTTTTGTTCCCTACTCTGATGACATAAGGAACATATTTTATTTTTTATCTTTATTTGTTATTGTACAATTTCTTTGTCAAATTTTACAGTGTGACCAAGAAAACCGTGAACACTTGAAATATTTCAGGAATGTTTATTGTGTTACGACCAATCACAGCAAAGATCAGGTCACGCCAACTAGCTACAAAACCACAAAAACTAATTAATATTCTTGCGTGCAGTTTAGTTTCTCACACACAACTAGCTTTCATCTTGCAACACAATAACATTGTAGAAATATTTCTGGTGTTCACAGTTTTCCCAGTTTGATTGTAAAAATGTTCTGCCATATAAAAGAGAAAATGCCAAGTACATGCACTTGTGAAGTAGCAGTTGATGAGTATAACAAAAACGTTTTTAGCAAGCAAAGAGTTAAAAGTGACAAAAAAAAGCATCTGTAGTAAGTAGCAGACTTTTAATTTTGTTGCAACGTAAGGTGTAATTATTTGCATCACCGTGAGGTCCCATCAGGGTAAATGAAGACTGGTGTCACAGGGCTTGAAACAGCGACACAAGACTGGCAACAAAGTTGGATTCAAACTGAACATGATACCATGGAACACAACTGATAATACAATAGACATTTTTTCCTCCTTTTCAAAATAATGGTTTCAATAGTGCGAAGTTTTTGATATCAAGCTACTTTTTTATTCTCAAGTAAACAAAACTTCATTTTCATATGGAATGTTTTAAATTTACACTTGACAAAGTCATTTTGACACGTAATATCAAAGTCTCACTTAGTCTACATTCACATGGCACCAGGCAAATTTTTAACCAGTTGAAAATTTGTGCATTTGGGTGTTCTGTTGACATAGAACCACCTTGACCATACCAAAACCTAAATGCGTAGCCATTCAAAGCTTGGTATGAACTGAGCAAAAATATTGAACTGTCCCGTGTGAACTAATAATATCGTCCCAGGGTTGTCTTTAAGAGATGGGGGGCAGGGATTTCCCCCGCTACTATGAGCATGGCCCCCATCTACTTTCAAATGAAAATAGAAGAAAAATAGAACCAGAAAAAACCTGTAGCTGTTTGATCTCCCACCTACTTGTTGTATTTACCCAGCAACTTGAAATCTTAGTGACAACCCTGTTGTGCAGTCATATTTTTCAGCTGGTTGAAAATTCATCTTGTGCCATGTGAATGTAGCATTAGTTTCTCAAGCAAATACAAGGCAAATTGGAAAGAGAACAAAAAGTTTGGTAGAAGTTAATCAGAAGCTGACCCCTTTAAAGCTTTTTTCATGCATCCTTTCATTTATGCCTTTCATCAAGGGAGGAAAAAATTCAAAAAGAAATTGTGATGACATCACAAGAGAAAGGTTTGTCTTCTTACACTAGGTAATGAGAGGAAAGTCTTAAGGAAAGTGTTAATAGGTCATAAATCTTTTTTTTTCTCTCTCTTCTGAACAGGTAAATGCAGAGATAAAGAGGTTACTAGTAGCATCAGTTGGAGAAGATATTGGGCAAAGGTATTTCAAAATTCTATAACTGATTCTGTAGGTTGGGAAAAACATAAAGAAATATTCACAAATTAGATGGAAACATACATTGTAGGTTTCATTTGTTTGTGTTACGTTTTTTCAAAAAGAGTTTATTTTTCATTTTTGTCTCAGAACTGAGTACATGGATTTTCTGCCTCAGCTATTGCAAACTGTAATACTAATTTTACAAAATTTTGTTGTTCTTACAAACTGACAGGTTGGAAGACTTGGTCAATAGAAATGTCCAGCAAACTGTTGAACTCAAACACTGGAAAAAAATGTGTGAAGAATACTCTGAGGAGTCAGACAGGCTTGAGATTGAATGTGATGTATGGAGAACAAAATTTCTTGCAAGCAGGTAAGAGTGGTGTTTTACCGTTTCATTGCTTACATGCAAGCTTCGCATCTTGCTCATCAGGAACAGTAAAAAGTTGTCAACCAAAAAATACTGGTACTTGGAGTGATCAACTCAGTCCTTTTTTTATCGCCAGTGAAAATCACACATTATTTTACCTAGTGTGTATAATCTTTAAAAAAATTCTTCCATAGTAATATTGTATCCCTGCAGCGTTTACACCTTAGTTGTGGGTCCCACATACAGGTGGAAGTTTTTTATCTCAGCTCAATGCTTTTGGCCCAATTTCTCATGCTTGGCAGAAAAAATGTGAGCTATCACAGCCTTAAATGATACAATCTAAAAAGAATTATTATGACATCGGGGCTGAGTTGCTCAAAGCATGGTTAGCTTTAACCATTGGTTAAGCAGTATCAAAACCAATACGTTGTCAAGGTATTAAACACTGGTTAACGCTAACCATGCTTCAAGCAACTGGGCCCAGGGCTGTAACTTTAGATTTCAAGTTGTCAGGTGTATGCTGATTTAAAGTAGGGAATTGAACAGCTAGAAGGTTAGATTGGATCTGTTTCCCATTTGTTTTCCTCTGAAGGTAGCCAGGGGTCTTTTTCTTAGTAGCCCAGGAAAATCCCCAGCCCCCGGCCAATAGTCACAGCCCTTTAACATGAAATAAACCTTAACCAATCTTCAAGAAAAGAAGGGTCAAGTGAATGATCGCACTTTCCCAAAACCTCCGAATGTTAGTAGGAAAGTCACTGTTGCTCATTCCGAGAACTTCAGAACTCTTTTGAACGTCTTCAGAAATCATCAGATGCCTATTAAAGAATATATTGAGATCATCTACAAAAAATTGAGGAACCTGCAGAGCTTCTCATGAGGATGAAAATCTAGTACAAGTTAACTCCCCTTTGGTACCAAAATGTTAAAGTAAAACGTAGTGTTTTTGCCTTAAGAATGATGTCTGATGAACTATCAAGTTGGAAGGTAGCACTCTATGCCAGATACCGACAAGCACAGAGTGCTTTGCAGAGATTGCTGGACGAGAGAGCTCAGCTGCAGCAGTACTTGATTGATACCAAGAGGCAAGTAACAATTAAAAAAGCTTAATTGGCTTCTATTGACATAAATCGTATGGGACCTACATCCTTGCTTCAGCATCTTCTTTATCTTCACTGACATCATCATCATCATCATCACCATGATGATACTAATTTTATGATAATAAACAGTTATAAATAATAATAATTATTATAATAGTAATCAATAATAACAATATGATTATTATAACTTTGCTAGTAAATTGGCTTTAAAAAAATAAGCACAAGCACAAGGATCTGGAAAAAAAGAGAAAATTTTTTTCGTTTATTATGGTGTTTGCTTTTAAATTGTGCACATGCATCAGAAGCATTCATTTTCTTTTGAAACAAGACTCTTACACTTGCGCTTATACTTACATTGTCAGTGTAAACCAGACTTAAATGGATGGACATCCTAAGTGAGGATTTTAATGAGTTCTTTTCAGTCAAAACTTGGACATTTGGCCCTGAAAAGAATTTTTCCTAGCCTATGTTTTTATTTTATTCTATTTTGTTATTTTATTTTTAATAGAAATGCATCGAGCTGCTCTTAATTATGTGCTTAGTTATTGTTTAAACATTTAGCTAGTTTGTATCTTTAATTAATGTGGTAGGTTCCCTGCTAGGGGAGGCCTCTTTTCCGCCGAATACCAGGGAAAAGAGGTCTCTGCTAGAGGGAGGGTGGTAGGGCTGGGCTTTACATAAAAAAGTGAGCTACTCCTTATTGTCATCTGTCGATTTGTCCTGTAAGCTTAAGTTGATTAGTCTCCCTCGCAGCCATTTTTTTGTCATCATACAATGCTCCTTGTTGGGGAACATCATTGCGTGATGGGACAAAAACAGCTTGGGAGCCTGAGATGATATGAGATATTGTTCTCTTTCCTTGTCAGTGAAATTACATACAGACACACGGTTAGAAAAATTTATCGGTGGGTTCAAGTTTTAATTGAAGCACTTCTTTTAGTCTGCTACACAGTTGTTCTTTGTGTCATCACACAACGCTCCTGTTTGTGAGGAGGAGCGTTGTGTGATGACACAAAAGACAGCTGTGTAGCAGACTATACCTCGTTGGGAGAATTTTTAATTTTTTCAATGTATAACCCATAACATAGTAGATTCCCATAATAAAGTGAACTCTTAAGAAATTCACTGATTTTTTAGTTTTTTACGTTGTAGGTGTATTCAGTCCTTACACTCAATGCTGAAAAGCACAGATGGTATTCTTCAAGGATCCTTTCCTTCATTGTCCTCCGCAAACGAACAGAACATTGTAGAAATAGCTTCATTAAACAACTCCTTGGCTGAAGAAACTTTAGATCTTGCTCAGAATGTTTTGCCAGCGTTGTCACTCTCAGAGACATGACTTATGTTAACTCATGAGTCAATGGAGAACACAGAAAAACTCAAGATGGGACCAACTTCTGCTGAAAAAACTAGCTTTACAGGTGAATTTTACGTGGCTGGCTTGTGATTATGGGTGCACTGCATACTCAGGAGAGAGACTCCAAAAAAAGTTGTAGAATTCAAATAAAAGCTTTTGGTCAGTAATTCAGGAGACATAAAAACTGGAGACTGTCTCTTTTGCAGTACACCCCCCCCAAGCACCTCTCTCCACCCGTGTGACTCAGGACATCAAACGAAGTGTTCTAAATTTGTAAATTTTCTTAAAAGTACTGATGAAAGAGGCCGTGGAAACTGTCCTATGATCGAAAGCATTTTTGAATTTTTGAAAAATGGCGCAAAATTCCAAACTTAAACAGTAAAGTGAAAAATGCTATTTTATCCGGGAGATTTGGTGACCTGTACGGGGGACAGGGTGAACTATGCAGAACACGAAAAATTCGGGAGAGTAGGCAGTGATTTCTTTTGTCTCCTCTGCAAAAATATTTCCCTGCTAGCAGAGGTCTCTCATGGCGTGAAAAAAAAAATGTGCCGCCTGTACAGTACTGGCGTCTACTGGCGTTTCCTTTACAACCAGTAAAGTTTTAATCACGTGCGACACAACTTACAGAACCAGTTTCCATAATAACAACTGTGGGCTCAGAAATATCCAGCATGGAGTCTCAACAGGACACGCGCATTCTACAATAACCGAAACCAGTTCTGAAAACCAGTCATTTTCGGCCACAAATGTGGTCGGCGGCTGCATGGAAGAACGCGTCGGGAGCCGACAGAGGTCTTTCTCTATCCAAAGCTGCAAATAACAGTCGGTCATCGGACAATTGTCCGGCAAATTTGACGTTTTGACCGGCGAAATATTAGTCTGGTATGTCACTCTGACCAGGCACGTTTGATCCAAATTAAACTTTTAATTATCATACTTCAATTACGCTTGTGGCAAAACAGTGTTCCGTTATTTGGCTAAACACACACATTGATAATCAAAAAATAATAATCTGCTATCGAAAAGTAAATCAGAATTAAATTTGTGTTTAACTGTACTGGTAAAGAATTCGGCTTAACGCCTATCGCATATTTTCGCGGCGACGAATTGTAGACATGCCGGCTCGGGCGCTCTGGTTTCTGTGAAGTCACATTTCTGAAAAACTATCAAGACTCCAAATTTATGAACTTCATTAAACGAAACCCGACTCAGGTTTAATATTCTCATTTATTTTGTTTCATTTTGTTCCTTTGACTACAAGACCCATTCAGAGCAATAATCAGCAAGTTTTTTTCAGAATTAACTGCATTCGCGAATCAGTCCCGTTTACATAATGTGTATATAAAGACGCCCAATGTTGCAGATTTCTAAGACAAAAAGATTATAAAAGATTCCAAAGTATATTTTAACCTGAACAGCAGTTCAGAGCGCTCATGAGGCTTTGAAATAATATTGCTTCCACCTAAACAGACAATCATTTTTGTCAAAACACGAACGACAATTAGATACTTCGTGGTCACGATTGCATCACCGTTCACTTCTGTCCCAAGTTTACAGTTTCAATCGTAAAACAGACATTCCAACCCTACAAAGCCAAAACTCTGAAGATTTCGTTCGCCAAGGGCATATACAAACTATTACAGCCTAGTAACAGGGTGAGTTTTTACGTTGTTTTGGATATTTGTGACAAATCTGCATGATCTAAACGTCTGAGTCGGTTTTTTCCCGGCATATCCCATTACAGCTGTTTGTTCCATGTGCGCGGGAAATTCTGAGGAGAGTCTTTTTAAGTGCGAAGTCAGTGACGACTGATCAGTGAACTGATACAACTGTTACAGCTCCTGTCTGTGATTAGTATTGCGCAATTAAAGCAGTGAAATAGGTTGTTTTGTTGAATTCTTAATTTTGCTCTTTCACTTGGAATTTCTTTTGTCCGACCAGACTGTTTCCTTGTCAGGTCAGGTCTGGTCTCTGACCTGACAAATGACCTGCTTATGAAAAAAAATTATTTGCAGCCTTGCTATCCTCTCCTTATTCTCTTGTTGCGAGAGACCTGCTAGCAGGGAATTATAATAAGTGTAGTGAACTGTAGTTTCTCTCCATTCCAATATCATTCTTCCTTTCTTGTACCTTTTACCCCTAGAGTCATTACTTCGAAGAAATAAATGTATTGTAGTTCTAACTTATCAGTGGATGAAACTCTGTTTTGTGATCAATCACCATTCAATTGAAACCTCTTCAGCAGTACTTTTCACAAAGTGATATTTGTCTTCAGCACTTCACCCCATGAAATTTGGCGTATCCTACCCTAGGTTCCAGAGGATATTTTTTTCTTATCGATACTGATGATTCGCGGCGAAGCCGCGTCAACGAGGCGCAAAGAGTCGAGAGAAAAATATCTCGGGAGCCTTATCAAACCGTAAGCACGGTTTATTTCATATTAGGTATTTTGAGAACGGACCTCTGGAGCCAGGGTAGGCGTAACCCATAGAATTCCTTGAATTTTGAATGGTCGTAACCAACTCTTAAAATTTCGTGTAAAGGTTTGGTCTGGTACCACACACGTGGAAGATCGCGCACCTTTGTTAAAGGCTTCCGGTCCAGCAAGGCACGTTGTTCAAGACCCTGAATAGTGCAATTGTATACCCTGTTTATGACCCCGAAATCTAAATCTAAATCTAAATAATTACTGTATACTAATCTGTCATATGGGATGTAATACTAATCTGTCATATAGGATGTAAGATAACCTTACTCTGTTCAGCGGAACATCCCTGTTAAGATGTCCCCTCCGCCCAACGGGCCTACGACAGATTTGACTGAATACAGAGCCACTTTTTTCTGTTCATTGGGTCTTATCCGATGACGTGGATCTTCAAGCCGAACAACAGCAACTCAGAGGTGTTGTGAAAAGAATGTCTCAGCAGTACATTGGTCATGATTATCAAAGCCGGTTTGCTACCAAGAACTTCAGAGTAACTTATGACTGCTATGAGAGGTGCACGGGAGCTCTTCAAGTGGTGTAGACACAGGCAGACCACCGTCTGTTCTTACAAGAAACACTAGCCTGTTACAGGCTAGCCATCTCACGCAGATAGTGGAGTGTGGCTCGAAATCAGAGAGGATCATTTTACGTTTCTGGGAAACTGTCAACCTACCCCTGCCCTAAGCCAACTTGTTGCCCTAAGTGAGAAGTAAGTGTTAATGTTGGCTTAAGGGAGGGGTGGGTGGGAAGTTTCCCAGAAACTTATAATGATCCAAAAAAATGCAAGGAGGTTGAGAGGAGGAAACTTCTCTTCGTTCCTTCGCTCTTACTCCCTTTTCCGCTGCCTCGCTGTTTTTCGTGCTCAAATAAATTTTCAAAAATATCCAGATACGAGTGGACGAGGCCTTACATTGTGCCATTAAGTGATCAAGCCAATAGGAGCTGGTCAACTCCTGGTTTACTGCTATAACGGTAGAGAGGCTTTATTAAACCGAGGTGGAAGAAAAACCACCTCAGAGAATACAGACACATTGAACAACGTTCTTTCGTTCTCATATATTAATTTATTGACGTACAATCCGCGGGTTGAATTGAATATACTCACTCGTACATGAAAAGAAGAAAGGTTTCTATAGAATTCTGACAAATTATAAATATAAATACATATAAATTCACACGGACTTTTACATATGTTTTATACAAATAATGCACTGGCATATTACAGCCACGGTCGAAGAGTAACAAAGAGTACATTTCTTTGTCTGTCACTAAGCGGCTTTCCTGCCTTCTCCGTTTAGTTCTAGGGGGTTCAGAATCGCAAACCTAAGGTCCTGAGCTTGTTTCCCGCTTAGAAATCTAGCTGAATTTGTCTCTCCGTCGTTCCGGGTTCGACTTTAGGAAGCTTTAGCGTCGACGACGGCGAAGGCAACGTGAACGCCAAGAAAACGGAAGAAAAAGATTTAATAAGCAAAACAGCATCACACTTTTTTGTTCATTTCCTTGCCGTCAATGCACGACTACGACGTGAAGTTCTCTTATGCGGCGTTTTATGGAGCACGTAAACACACGGCCACGAATCTTTCTTTTTCCTCCAAAACTTGGGTTCGGTCCTGAGTAATTCAATTCCAGGGAAATTCACCTTCATTTGACATTTTCCAAAAGTGACTGAGTAATAGCGACAAAGTTTGCAACAACAGTGAGTCTGTAAATAGTTTTGATTTTGCTACCGTTTGGCCGTCGTCGTTGCTGTAAAAAGTTCCTATTACGTTGTTTTCCCGGGACGGCAACTTCGTAAGGAAACGATCCGGGGTGTACTCCCATACTAAGGGCAGACTCGTACCCAGTCGTTATTTGTGTTTTTGGGGTGAAAGAGACGAGGGAAAAATTGTCGCCCCCTTCCCATAAGTCCCCACGCGCCTCAACCTAACCCCGGCACCCTCTCTTACCTATTTTCCTCACACCCAAAGCACATAAATAGCTACCAGGTACGAGTCTGTTTTAAGGGGGTTAGGGTTTATCGTCGGGGAAATTAGAATTACTGGGCGTGGCTCAATCTTTATTTGACCCCTAAAAGATACAGCTCTGAAACAAAAGCAAGATAAATTGTTATCATATGAATTTGAATAGAGGAGATGTCATTGAATGCTTTCTTCTGCGTTAAGTTTCTTTTTTCTTTTCGTCTGTTTCGTTCTTTATTTCTTCACGCACAACCGTAAGCGAAACAATCATCCGAAGGTAACTGAAATGTGCGTTTCGTGCTGAAAACCTCAAGCTGAACCTGTATCCGCAATTTAGACTCCTTGACGAGACGACCAGTATCACCGCTCTTTTAATAACGGAACTATTTCCCCGGGGGAAATTAATAATAATAATAATAATAATAATAGTGACGATGACGATGACGATGACGATGACGATGACGATGGCGATGATGATGATGATAATGATAATGATGATGGACTTTGGACCCTTTTTTGTGGACTCGGCGACTCGAAAATGTGGACTTAAGGACCGTGGTGTTGACTTTGAGACTTGGAGTTGACTTAGGGACTTACGGCAAAGTGGACTTGAGGACCTTTTGTGGACTCAGCGTCTTTTTTGGTGGACTCAACGACTTTTTGTGTTGACTTAAGGACTACGTTATTGTACTATCTTTACCATCCCTATATTATTCATTCTATCTGTTTTTGACAGACAGTTCTATTGCACTTGAATCACACAAGTTGGACAAAACTTCTGAATAGATGTGACTGTGAGACCGTCACTCAGCAGCCTTTGGGAACAATACGATCAAAATGAGCTTAGAACAGGAAAAGTTATTACGTTATAAAATGTAGTGTAATTACAGTCTATGACGACAGTGTATAACAAAAATTATCCTTTATTTCAGTTATTTTTTCCCTTGAAACAATGCAATAAGAACAGCATTTGAGAAAAATAAGAAAATGGGCTAGAGTGGCTTACAATAGCAAATTTATTTTTGTGGCCACCGTCTGTGAAAACGAAAAACACAAACACCCCTAAACGTTCCGCGTTTGGCATTTCCACTAATTTCTGTTGGGTTCTAAACGATGTTCGTCTCAGTTGTGTTAAACAACAGACGAGTAAAACTACTAAGGAATCAATTTGAAAGAAACTCTGATGCAAAAGGTTACACTAATCAAACCTTTATTGATACATCCGAGGGCAAAACTGGTAGTTGATGCACCAGAGGCCACAAGAATACTGTTGAGAATTTGTAAAACCCAACTAGTGGTCTATTACCAACGCTGTGTTCTGATTGAATGAGCTACTACTAGGCTATATGTGGTGGCAAAAAAAGGATTAAAGTCTAGCTTTAACTAGCTAAAGAGGTTTTATCTCGATATTTTTGACCAACTAGTTAGATTTTACTGAAACAATTATTCCTCTCGCCCTCATGGCCATTCCGGCTCGAGGAATCATTGTTAAATATCCTTAACATAACCACGAAATCTACTACAGTGTACTAGGGTAGTTAAATTGTAGAATTTTCGGACAAAAAATATGAAAATGCGCTAGAGTGGCTTCCGGTTGAACATTAAAAGTCATTTATGTATTGGCACTGTCATTGTAGTTACAAAAACGTACAACATATCTTCATTCTGCGTTTGCTGTTTCCGCTTGTTTCTGTTATGTTTACATTGGTTTCCAACGATCTCCTTTGTTGTGTTTGACGAAAAACGAGTTAACGTTTCAATTTATCGAAAACCACTCCTGCGCAAAAAGTAACATCAAACTGGTTTTTTGATACTTATAAATCCGTGCGTTACAGATTGTTCGTATACATAAACGACGGTAGTGATGACCAAAAAATCGACTAACGAGGTAGTACCATTCTAGAAATTTCAAGGTGATCAGTGCACAAAAAATCCTAAACCTATAGGCCACTTCTGAGTTCCAAAAGCCCTCACTTTCAAAATGAGGCTAAGGGCACAACCTTTTTTGTGAAAGTGAGTTTTATTTGCATGAGAATGAAAAATCATTTCCATATCAGTGGCTGAGCACTTACCCTCGTTCTGATACAAAGGTCCAGGGAACTTCGGAAGTGGTAGGAAGTGGTAGGTTTTGGTGGTTTTGAAGTAGTAACATGGCAGAAATAAATTTCATGCAGATGATCCGCAAAAAAAAACCCAAGAAGACACAGAAAACTAAAGTATTTTGTTCGAGACAACTGCTGTCTTTCAATTATTAAAATAAGTTTTTCTTTAATTTATTTTTTTCGGATCGTCCACCATGAAATCAGGAATGCTCTCCTTTACTTTCTCCACTGCCTGATGTGAGTTGCACGAAGACCTCTGATCTTGTCAGTAACTTTCTGCTTAGAATATTTTTGTATGATGTCTTCATGGCCGGTCTCGTTCAATCGCTGTACAACATCTTTTGATTCAATCTTTTGACTGCCTTGAATCAAGTCCTTAAAAGTTTTGAAAAAGACCATCACCTCCTCTTCTTCAAAAACTCTCGATTTTCCTTGAGTTGTAGTCGGACTTATAATTGAGTTCGAGTCGCTCGCATTGTCATTACAATCGCTGGCCTCCACGTCTTCAAAAAGAGAACCCTGAGATTTCTTGAACCTGTACAATCCTCTCACTTTGTCCAACAGTCTTTTGTTTTCACAGTCTACGAGCAGTGGATTTGTGCGCTTAAGAGCAAGGACTTCCCGTAACGTAATTGATTGGCGGCTGATATTATCTGCGAAGGTTTCTTTTATTGCTCTTTCCTCCTCCTTTGTCCAGGTCTGGCGGACCGGAGGTACAGGTACCGCATCAAGATCACCATCATCTTTTCCTTCAGGAGGAGAATCAAAATCATCTTTTCTCATACTAGGTTGCTCGATGTCATCATTTTTGCTACGTGATGGTACAGCAGGAGAACTCGGCCTACCATGCATTACGGCCGTCAATTGCCTAGCAGCAAAAGCGGAGTTTGTGCGCTTTTGCACGAGATGATAGTGCTTATCTGCAGTTCGTTCAGTGTGTGCCATATGTGCGGCGACATTACCCTTGACCTCTTTATTGTACTGTCGAATTGCTGTTGTGCATGACTTCCTCATTAGTGTTCCTGAGATACGTGTTTCCTTATCAATCATACCACCCTTTCGCCAGGCGCTTGTTATAGCTGATGACAGATCGCTGCTCTGCATCTTCGCTCCTTTCCAGTTTAAGAACAAGCAAGTGGATCCACCGCCCTTCACAACTTGCTGCCTTGCGTACTCGACGTAAATGTCCAACCAACCTTTGAGGCTTTCATCGAAGCAGAGATTTGCTGGGCCATGCTGACTGTATGTTTTATGATCTTTAACAGATATCATGTATGTTTCATCGACACAGCTTATTTCCTTGTACTCATCTAGAGTACTGTTCGTTATGACACCGCTTCTATGCCCATTCTGGGAAAGCAGGTGTATGAACAAGAAGTTTCTCAAATCACAGTACTCAATTTGGCCTAGAGGTGTAGAATTCTGGCCTTCGTCTATCAAATCGCCAATGACCTTGACTTGATTACGAGCAAACTCTGACTTAGCAAACTCTTGAACTTTTTCTGGGGTAATAAGACGTGCAAGATCTTCTTCTTGTTTCTCCCAAAATCTCTCTTTAACCTCTTTACGAAGACTTTTACACCACTGCCCACATTTTTTAAAGAGGGCGTCTGCCGTTTTTTCACATCCTCTGGGAAGCCCGATGTCATCCTCGGTTGTAGCGAACGTATAAAACTTGCGCAAAGAATGAAGATAACTGATTGTGGTTGCTGCCTTGTGCGACGCTCTCGACTCTGGATAAAACTTGTCGCGAATTAGAGCCTTGTCAAACAAGCTTTCAACGGTTTGTGTTCCTATTATCGACAGTATTGTCTCCACTTGTCGCACCACTAGCGCAGCTGGCCTTGCATCTTTTCGCCCCCATCGGGGCTAAGGATCCATTTCCCGAACGCTTCGAATACTCTTTTTTTTGTTGATCACAAGCTTCAGTTTGGACCTCCACAGCATCATCGCTTTCTGCACACTCCTCTAAATATTCAAGGTCGTCTTCACCATCACTTGCCGATTCTACAACAATCACTTTGTCTACAGTCGAAGTTGAACTGGTTGCCCCCAAGGTCCCTGTGTCGTCATTCATATGTCCTCTAGGTGCAGCATTTTTTTTACTCTCCTTGAACTGGTTACTTTTTTCAGTAGCTTCTTCACCTGGTGAGTCACCTTCTATCTCGACAAAATTCTGAGCGAAAGAAGCACTGGACTGATAGACAGGCCGGGATTCTTTAAGAGCCTTCCAATACCTCTTTGTGCCTTGTATGCACCCGTGCTGCTTCTGTAAGTGTTTTGATAGATACCTTTGCTTGCGCCCACACTCGCAACAGACTTTTCTCCTTCTCTTATTCCTCACTTCTTTTGGCTTCTTCGAGTTTCGTTGGTCGTGGCGCATGTCAAATTGATTGACAGCATTTCTGGCTCTTTCGGCACTCCAGCCATGCACATTCTTTAAATGACGAGGGAGCTTATATACTTTGGAGCCACAGCCGCGAAGAGGGCAACGAAATTTGTTTCTTTTATTTGGTTTCGCATCCTTCTCTTCATCTTCCTCGTCGTTGCTTTCTGTACTTTCTGACGATTCCGATTGACTGCTGTCTGTATTATCTTTCTTGCTGTTTTCTGTACTTTCTGAAGATTCCGATTGACTGTTGTCTGTATTATCTTCCTTGCTCATTTTTGGGGTCCTTGATCTTGAGTGACTTTAGGGCAATTTTCTTTTCCTGCTTATTGATCGAGAACCAGAACTATTCTCAGATCTTCTTAGTTTTGTTTCTTTTATGAAGGCTTTCGCTTGCTTTGTTGTCTCTTCTTCCGTTTGCTCCAGGCCCGATAATTCACTCTCGTTTTCAGTGTCCGGCGGATTGCTTTTGGTTACTACTTTGTACAGTCCTTTGAGAGCCCAAATGTGTCTCTCAGCCTAAAAAAGTGAAGCAATTTTTTATTATTTATACACATTAAAATGGATGTTGAGTTCTCATTTTCTAATATAAAATAGTTACAAATTAATGTTTTTACTTGTTATCCTACAGGGATATGCTAGTCAGCTCAGCTTACTCTGTCATTTCTGTGACGAGACATCAATTCAATTACGACATGCAATGCAGGATACTACAAACTAAGAGTTCAGTAAAGAGATGTAGCTTACAGTTAAAAGTTTATGAAACCGAATTCAAAATTTGTTACCCCTGCTTCATGTCTGATCCATAAATATAAGTTTTATACATGTCCCTATAATATTCGCTTCACTTGAGTTCCCTCAGGGGAAACCCTCTATCGTTTTTTGCCCTTACAAAAAAAACCTTAGAGGCTAAACAGACTTCCAGCCCGGGGGGAGGGGAGGGGAGGGGAGGGGGTTTACTTCCTAGAAGTACGCTAACAGGTATGTGCTGCTGGATGGGGTCGTATTTTCACGACTGGATTGACTTTTATATTTCTTTTATTTAAGAGTTATAGAATGGGGTCGCACGTTTTCAGGATTTTGGGGGTCAGAAAAATTACGTATGTAGCGGTTTAAAAATAGGATGATTTACACCACATTAAATTTAACAAACATGTCAGTTAATTTATGGATGACCTGGTCAAAAGGTGTTATAAGGTAGATGCATAAACAGACAGTCACTAAGTTGGGATCACGTTTTTTCTAAAGTGACTAAGATGGGGTCTATAATATGGCCACTGTAATGGGGTAGGGGTTCTGAGAGGCTAGTGGTGGCAGAGACCCGGCAAAGATTATCCCAAGTAACCCCCCTCCCCTCCCGTCCCTTCCACAAGGGGCTTCTAACAAGGTATCTACAGCTGGTCACTCATGAAGAAAACTTAACAATGTCCGGGCTTCATTCAAGCTCTGATAAATTAGATGCTCCTACATAATTGTAACATAATAATAATAATAACATAATAATAATAATAATAATAATAATGATATTAATGGTAACTGTAAGTTACATTCTATAAGCATTGTTCAAGTAAGTGAAACTGGTGCTGTATAAAGGTTGCAAATGGAAGAAAAGAGGTTTGAAACTAATCCTCGGTAATTGTTTATCGTTCTTACAGGTGCTACAGTGAAACCTTACAAAATACAATATTCAGAGACATGATCAAGTTTATGACAGTGTTCCTATAAACACAATTTGAATGAAGAAATATTTCTGCTTCCTGTGTACTTTAATATTCTTAGAATAAAAATAATTAAAAACGAAATTATGAAACTAGAAAAAGAAATCGAAGAAAATGTGACATAATCTTTTTCAATAATCGGCAAAATGACAATCATTGGCAGAAATTGCTCAGTTTTGTCTCATCGTTGTACTCTGTCGCTTAAATACATGTACAAAAGATTATTGTTGTTCTATACCAAATATGAATTCTACAAGATACTATTATAGCATCTATGCTTAATATAAATATTCTTCGAAAGTTCTCTCGTTCAAATCGTTACGATTTTACTTTCACTCTGCTTCACAAAAATAATCATTGTTTCTTTATAAGCTTACCTGTGATTTTTTTAATTGCTCTTCTCCCTGGCAAACCTGACGAAAATCTGCGCGGGCTTGTTTGAGCTCAAGTAAGATATTCGGTCCGTTGTATCTACTATTTGGATTCATTGCCCACTTGTGACTTGACGTCTCACCTGCAGGAGTCGAGAACTTCATACTAAAACAGCAGAAAACAGGGTAAGAAGTGTGCTGAACGCGGATGAAACGGATAATAGATCTTGTACGATCAATACTTCAACAAACGCAATAAGATTGTACGATTGAAAAAGCCAGATCTAAAGGACTTTACAATTACCTTCACTTGCATTTGTGTCCAACAAAAAACATGGTCGACAGCGTGGAATGAAAGCAGCGTCACAATGCACGCTGGGAAATGTCCTTGCACTTCCGGTTTTTTTGTTGAATGCAGCACGTTATCAAAAATGTCAAAAAATTACAAAAATACAACGGCCAGGGAAAAAAATTACAGCGTACATTGTGTTTCCATCGTGTTTACAACATTGTTTTCGCCCACCTTTTTAAAAATACTCCGTAAAATTCGTTGATTAGCCATTTTGCCGTGCCTCTGTTATGGAGTAGATTACAGATGATGACCTTCAAAACGTGAAAAAAGGGAAAAACTATAGCCGCAGTCAGGAGTTTATCATTGATATCCCTACTACATTCTTATCACGTTCTGTGATTGATAAGTATACACGCACACATAGATAGAATGTATATATTTTTTTAATTTCTAGTTGCAGTTCGTATGAAAACGCTTGTCACTGGCTCCCCGCCAAGTACTATTTGATACTTAATTTAATTAGCTGCAGGTGTCGTGAAGATCTGAAGATGTGAAAAGCACTAAACCAACGAATATGACCAGCACGTAAATTTATCTGTTATTAACCCTAGTTTCCATTGGGAGTGTAAATTGCTGACTTTAGTCTCACTTAGGGTGGTCAGGATGGAAATCTAATGTTTTTAAACATACAAAATTCTCCACTTATTAAAGAAAATTACTTTAAACGCGCTCATATTGTGTTACCGGCAGTATATAATTTCATACAACTTCGCGCAATATAGATGCAATATAGATGCAATATAGATCACATCAGCTCCAGTATTAAGTGGTCCCTGGAACTGGTTGCCTTTTTAAGAATCGGCTATTTTAGGGGAGAAGCATAGTCTGAGCCACACCCATTTTGGTCTATTTAAGGGGGTTCAAGAGAGTTTTGCACAACATTCTTGTACCTTACAAACGGTTGCCACTGTACCTCGGTTTCAAACATGATGCATCATTGCAAGTTCGTTGGGTTTTATCGATGTATTGTAGTTTACCTTTGAGAACGCAAAAAGCGGTAACAAAACTTACGCTCCAACTTTTCAACCTAAGGGGTGCATTAATTTTTTTTGTTGTTGTTTCCGATACCGGTCTCCCCAAAGTAACATGAAACGTAACTTACCTCAGAAGCCTCACACCTCTCTGAGATCAGTTATGTCCTCAAAATACGACAAACTTGAAAATATTTAGACGTAGAGACCTTTAGAATCCAGCGCAACTTCCGTGGAAAATGCGACCTCATCGTTCATAAATATGGATCTCCCGGCTCGTGGTTTTTACGAAACACTACCAAACTCGAGCTACATCATTGACTTTGTTGAACGTTATCGCCTTTCCAATTCGCTGCTCTCTCGTCAAAATGTTCTCCAAATATTTTAATATTTCTATCTGAAGCGTAATTAAGTGGACTACGGGACCCGGTAGGTAAAAGGGGTACTCAGAAAAAAAATTCGAAAAAAAATTATAAACATAAATATGATCATTTCTAATTTAAAAGACAGGTAGATATTACTAATAACTACCTCTGACGTGAATTTCACGTTAAGCGATTGAATACAGCCTTTCGTATTTCGATTTGCGTTTGAAAACGCACCTTTTAAATTCTTCGCAAAATTTTTCCTTCGCAAGTACCGTTCAATGTAACACATATCGAGGCGTTTGCAATCGCTCGAAAAAAAGAGGAAATAAAAAGGTCTGTGGTAAGTCATGAGCTGACAAACTCTTAAATGGTATCTAGATAACTCGCAGAATTGGTAAAAATCGGAGTTTACCGCTTAATCTTAGTCTTTACCACTAGATTTGTTGACTAAACGACTTTACTGACTTAAAAAATAACTTCATAAAGACCCGTTTTAACCATTTCCGGTCATTTTTATACACAGTATACTTCTTAGCTTCTAGTTACTTGTTATGCCTTTTGACCGGAAAATAAAACAATTGTGCCTTTGGAGGAACCATTTGAAGTCAAGGTCGCAAAGTCCGAAAACCATCAGTCTAATGATGATGATGATGATGATGATGATGATGATGATGATGATGATGATGATGATAAAGGTCTTTATTCAAGGTTTTAAACAAACGTTAAAACTTACAAGTTCTATTATAAAATGAAGATAAAACTGTGTGAGTCTAAAAAAATATTAATAAAAATCAATAAATACTAAATTACAATCTATTTAAAATCAAAGAGACAAATTAGCAATGACCAGGGCGATTTGAATTTCAATCAGATTTCCGACGGCTTGTTAGCCTGGGTACCAGATGTTCTTTTTCTCTGGCGTTCAGCTGGATGTTTCGGCGTCACTAGTAGGACTTAACCGCAACCGGAAAACGCGCATAAAATGTCTCTGGCACCCAGGGTAAAGGTTGTATGTACTTCTTTCATTCTAGACTAGGAATGCCACTGATGTGGCATCACTCCCTTCATCGGACATAAACGCTTCTACTTCGGCTTCCATACTGACTCTGTAACCTTCTCTGTGGTAGGCTGAGAACATCGTCGGAGTAAACACTGATTGATCGTCAAATGCTGTGGGAAGGCTCCACAAATCGCCTGTGACAAACTACGACATGCGTCTCCATGGCAACATTCACAGCAACAAAACGTCAATCGATCAGCTTCCTCCGCGGATAACTCAGGCCCATTTCCTCACAGACTCCTCTCGATGTCAACGCATCCACGTCTCGCATCGTATGGTTGTTACACCTTTATCAGGATGTCTGGGCTTTATGTAGAGTATTTCACCTTCAGCAACCTTAGTCTTCCCGTCTCCGTTGGTACTTTTGTCATAATAATGCACTTTGAACCTATATGCGTATTAAAGGTGTAAAGTTGACCTTAATTAGTTTATACGGAGAGCGATTCGGTTTGAACTCGCTCTGTCGAGCCAGCCTGTTTACCGCAACTAATGATTTCCAATCGTTACAAGCTAATTTCTAGCTATATTAAACTTGCGACCCCAGATTTTAGCGCAATCATTCACTTATTCTACAAACGTTTCAAAACTGATTTGTGGATTTAGGGGTACCCTGCGTAGCAGGTGCCCGTTATTAGGGAGTTTTAGCAACAACGATGGCCACCGCAACGAGAACGTCAAAAAAGACGTGAAAATGCCTAATTTCACGTTTTACAGAAGACTTAAACAAGGGACGACGAGATTTTCTTTCTTTTTCTAAACTTGAGTGCGGTCCCCAAGAAATCAACTCCAGGGAAATTTGCCTCCATTAGATATTTTCAGCGAATTTGAATAAACGCGACAAAGTTGAAAAAAACGCCAATTCATTCTAAAATTGACGTTTTCGCTGCCGTCGCCGTTGTCGATGCTAAAAGTCCCTATTTATTTAAAGGCCGCGCGAGGGCAACACGCGAAGGGGAGAGGAGGCCTCCTATCTTTTTCTCCCCTCGCGCGTCCTCCAGATTTCTTCCTTCGCCCTAGAAAACAAACCGGCGCCTGCTACGCAGGCTAATGTAGGAGGTCCGAACCAAGAGACCCTCACTGCACGGCGATATCACGTGCGTGAGAAGGAATCGGGTAATAGGAATAAATAAGAAAAAAAGTTACTAAGTAACAAAAAATAAATAGAGAGATTTCTTTCAAGAATAGAGTTCCTCTGTGGAGGAGCGTTCACTTGATAGATTGTACTGGGTGTTCCAACCTCTCCCCAGGCCTTGTTTCCTTTCCTTCTCTCTCCATCTCCTATTTTCTAAGGTAAAAGCCATGGGAGCGAGGTTCTTAGATGTTCTTGTCAGAGGGTCACTTTGAAAAATTGTACAACCTAAGAAACTGACCTGTAACTTCTAGGCTGCCGGATCCAACACTTGTTTCCACGACTTTATCCCGTATATCCTCTGCAAGGTCCATTCCATCCATCCCTGAAAATGAACAACCGAGCTTTTTTCTGGCCAAATCTAAAGCTGTCAAAAGAGAGCTTCCACAGTCTTCGTCTAATATGGTACGACCTCCATCCACCGACACAATTTTACTCAGTCTTAACTTCAAGAGTGGAAGGATACCCAAGTTTGGGAGCTGGAGGCCTGGGACCTTGGTTGACAATTTTCATTGCGTTGCGAATAAAGTTGACGTAATAGACATTGACAGTCAACCACCTTTTAAAAGAAATTCATGCTAATTCCACGTGTTATGGAGGACGTACTGACAAGCAACGACAATTGGAAAAGGACTCTTAATCTTCTTCAATAAAAACAACCGTTACTAATTTTCTGGACCCAGCTCTTCGAAGGCCGATTAGTGCTAATCCGGGGTTAATTTTCAATCCGCGTTTCTTTTCCTTTTGTTCAAAAGCATTTAGACTTGCTACAAGTCAACTTCATCTTAGCGAGCGACAACGTCACGAGAGGACAAAGGACTTTTTTGAAAGTCAAAAAAGTATTTTTCGGGTTAATTTCCTCAGTCTATTCTTTTAGAGCATCCAATTAAAAAATCACATGCAAAAAGGGTTAAACTGAATTACTTTTAAAGCTTTCATACCTGAATTCAAATTTCGCAATAACCCTGGGTTCGCTTAACCCACCTTTCAACAACCCCGCCCTGGTTAAGCAAAAAAAAATGGGAAAATGAAGGTTTCCGTTGAGTCTATTTTCTTAGACTACGCTGAATCCTTGAGTTTCCCTAATACCATAAGACAGCCAAAGTATAGTCATAAGTGCATTGGCGGGAAATTAAGGCTGAGAAGTGGAAAATTACTTATTAAAAATAATAGTTTAAAGAGGTAAATCAGGAGGTAAATATAGTTAACATGTTAGAACGCCTTCTTCCAGCCATTAACCCAGAAAAGCCTTGGCAAAACGTCATTTGGTCTTTCAGCACACAGGGTGCCAGAGGTGTTTTTTTCCCATTGGAACCCGCGAACGCGCCAAGCTGCGAGAAAAAAAATTCTCTCTCGCCGACAAGGCTCCGGTTGTTCAAACGATGGATAGCGCTATCCACCGGATAAATCACTATCCAGTGGATAAGTGTTAGGGAAACTGATTGCGTTATCCACTAGATAGAGATTTATAACCAGTGGATAGCTTTATCCACGTTTTGAATAACTAGGACCAGCACTTTAGCACTTCGCACGAAGGAACAATAGCGCCGCTATTTTTTCTTCGCCCCTTCCCATGAGACCCCGCGCGCGCCTTAACCTAACCCCCAATCTCAGTTCTCTCACCCCCAAAACACATAAATAGCGTTGGGTACGAGTCTGAGATATAACTATGACAAAGGAAGGTTTGTTTGTATTGTTGTTGTTGTTGTTGTTTTTAAATGACCCTGAGGCACCATAGCTTAAACTGACGGACAAACAAAGGAGTACCGCGACGTTAATGACTTATCAGGTCACGCAGTCATTCATTGGTCAAACCATTTACATGATTACTAATTTGAAATGAGAAATGCCAAAGTATAAACCAAGTCTAGTGCGGAACAATCTTATTTTAATAATACTGATAGTGTTACATGTTTTTCAGCCAGTCTATATCTAATAAGCATTTTGCAAAGCATTAAAACAATAGTTAAATATGTAATCCCTAGATTCTTATTTAAACCTCTCCGTTTATAATTTACACTACTGACAATAATAAATACAACCGTTTACGAAAAATTCGCCTTGCACTAAAAACAACTTAGGTGAAATCCAACATAACGGTTGATCTTCAGCTATCTTCTCAGTTAGTGGCTAACTTTTAAGGCTCGTCATTCAGTTAAAACCTTAATCACTGTTAATAGTTTTACGTTAATAGCTCTATACTTCTTTGATCGCATACGCTGATTGCTGGAAATCCTACTCAGTCCAGCTTTTTTTTCTGCGTGAAAGATTAGTCTATATGCTAGCCTAGTAAAAATCTTAACACGCTATAAGGGAGATTAACATTCTTGGATGATGGGCTCCTGATTATATCTGGAGGGCCTTTTTTTACAGTTAATGCTCTTTTTATGTTTGTTATAATTCTTTCAGTGTTTTCTTAGCTTAGTATGTAAGTCAATAAGTATGCATTTACTGTTTATACTCGTTCCGTCTTAAACTGTCCGATTATTGGGGATGCTCCTTCTTCTCCATATTAATCAGAACTAGCTTCAGGTGGCACGTTGTAATACGGATGATATTCATTGTGTTTGTTTACATTCAAATATGGTGCATCCCTTTCCATTATCGCCTCCATTTTTTCGATCAAACGGTAGAAACTGGGACGAATGTAAGGGTCTTCGTTCCAACAGTCAGTAATCAGCTCATATCTGTTATGAATGGAGAAAAAAAAGAACCATTCAATGCTTAGTAGAGCTCCAGTCAATTATTAGACAGTGTCAAAAGACCTCTTTATAGCTTGTATGTTTTGGTTTCCCAAAAGAGGTCCCAGGGGAATTTGACCGTTAGACATGACCTGTATTGGGAAAACAACACATTCAAGCGAAAGAGGTCTATTGGAATAAAAGAAATTTTTTAATAGGATATATAGGCTTCTTAGCTTCATGAGTTTACAGGGAGGCTCCACAGTGAGGCCCAATCCTTTTTGTACAGCATTTTTGACAGAATAGGTACCTCTTTCGTATACATTCCTTTCTTGCCTACCCTGAAAAATAGTACGACTTCTTCACTTTTTAAGCCATTAAGCCCTTAACATGAAGCATACAATACAGGTACATCTGTTTAAAATATCTTTTAAAGTAAATTACCGAAGTTACAAAATTTCCTACCATTTCAAACATTTTAGCTCGTGAAATTCCTACCTTTCCATATCCATGCGGCCTAAAAAGGTACTCCTTTTGGGTGAAGCTTCCACGTAAAGCCCATTAAAATGGGCTCTTGGAACGTTTGGGTTATCATGTGATTCCCCATTCCTTTAGCCAGCCATTAGTATGTAAAGCTCTGCCCCGAGGTCCAACCCCTTATCATTTTGAGTATCATTTTTGACAGAAAAGAACTTCAACTTTATCCCTTTTTTAAAATTGCTGAAAAATGCACTTCCTTTTAAATATGAATAAATAACAAATTAGAACATTTTCTCGACTTTTTCACAGCCAAAAAATCTTATCTGGTACTCTTAAGTCATTTTACAGACGGAAATGACAGATTTCCCTACCCTTTCATACACTTCGACTAACAAAATTCCTACACCAGAAGACTGAGAGGTACCCCTTTTGGTGGGGCCTTCCCAGTACAGGTAGTACTTCCCCCGGCCCCAGGAAAGAGATTAACCTAGTCACTACTAATGATCCCTTTATTGACCATAAAGCTAATGGACTGAGGGTTTCCTTTTTGTTCAAAGAGTGAGGATCCCATCAAAAGTTTTCCCATGCCGTCCGTCTGGTCAGTATTTAATAGGATCAAAGCAGGCGTTAAAATATTTGACGAATTCGTATACTGCACCGGTCGGTGAGAAATGTAACTGAGCAGACGCACAGAAAAATCGAATCTGTTTGTTAAATCTAAGACCACCCTAATCAAGAAACGTACACGTCATCGGAGCACATGTCAGGCCTTTCCATGCGATAACCAGTACCGAGCAGTCGATACAACTCTGAGTTGGTCAGCGTGGGGTATGGTACGCCTCCTGATGATTGCGAGAAAGAAAACAAATGATTGCATATCAGCAACTGACTACATGCAATTTCCATTATTTCTATTAAAGATGCCTTATTCGATCGTCACTTCTCCTCATATAAACTCAATAAGGCCATTTTGCAAAAATGGTTGCTTGAATGGAGGTCTGATATATAGCCAATGCAGTTAAATGTGTATTGAAAGAAGGCAGGGTGATTAACAATAAGGCTGCTCGTTTCCAGTCATCAAATGAATATGTATTGTCACATACGGTTATCATCTAGGAGATGTACTTGTCTCACAGCACTTAATCAATTAAAACAGAGCCCAGATCAAACAAGAAAAATTAAACTTGCTGCTACCCTTCCTGGTAGCAGTAACCTTGAGAACAATCGTAACAGTTAAGCCACATCCCACCATGGCAAATGGGGAAGGTGGGTTAAGGCACGTTCCCTTTAAATTGCCTTGGAGAGCTCAAAACTTTGCAGTGTAAAACCAGTATCCTGCGGGTCGTGCATGAGTTTTCAACATTTTGACATAATTTCTACGGTCGATAAGAGTCATAGACCATGAAAAATGTTTTTTTTGAATTGTCAGTCACCTCAAATTTAACATGACAACTATAAACTACAAAATTACTATCCACTCACCCAAGGTAGCCATTTCCCAAAGAACAACACCAAAAGACCAACTATGAGAAAAACCAGAGGTTATAAATATGTACAGATTCACGGCATTTATAGATTGTTTGCTGCCCACGGAGCAGCCCAAAAAATGCGTGTACTCTTGAGTTTTGGATGTAATTGGAAAACTGTTAAGGACTGGAAGAATCCGTTTTTAGCAGCTATATGACAGAGATGCCATACTATCAATACTATGATTCCATATTTGGGCAAACAATTTTCCGTGCTTCTAATTGGACGGCTAAAAATCCTAGCATGGTTATAAAAATAAGGGGATTTAGGCGCTTCAGAGTTACTTGCTTCTGTAATTTTTGAAGGCAACTACAATTCTGAGAATTTATTCAGTAGAAAAGTTTCAATAGTTCCCTTGTCAAGGGAGCGGGAAAACTCATCACTCACACATCACTTTTGGTCGTGTTAACCCCTTGATAAAGTGATTCTGGGGCCATCCACTTTACAGGAAGTTTTCTGGACTTCGCTGAGCTGTTCACATCTTCATAGATTTGTCTCATCAACCCAAAGTCTGACACTTTGATCTGGTTGTCATGGCCAACAAGAACATTACGGGCAGCAAGGTCTCTGTGAACAAGATTGTTTTCGGCTAGATGATTCTAATAACAAATAAGCAACGACAAAACTATTAAAATGATCTCAAAACATAATAACGGGGGTACGCCGAACATTAAGTAGTTAGGTATAGATGAAAAAATACAAATGAAAAGTAGATATCGGCACTGATCTGATCCAAATATTTACGTTCAAATGCATAACGAAACGAATTTAGCTAAAACTGGGTCGACCGAAAAGAAATTTTTTTCCATATAAGCCATTTTAAACTCATATCTAGATCAGAAAAACAGCCCATATATTTATCCCGTCTATTTCATGTTGATAAAATATTGACTTTTGAATTCTTCTTTCCAAGTTATACTCAGTATCAGAATCCCAGCAACATTATTCAGAAAACAAGATAATTACCATTCCTTTAGCTATTTGCCAGGCAAATGAAAACAGTTGTTTGGTAGAAAAGTTCTCTCGTACGTCACAAGGATCCTCGTCTGACTCCTCTAGGTTTTCAATTGAAAGTGGCATTGCAGAAGCTTGAGTTTTTCCTAGTGATGCCGTTGGCCTGGTTAGAAGTTCTTTGTCAGTCACTTTGAATTCCTCATCCTAGTTAAATTGATAAAAAAAAAATATATCAAATTTTTGGTTTAGCTTGAAACAGCACAGCTTTCAAGTAATTACTTTCCTTATTAGTAAATAAGTAACTAACGTATAAAAAGAAAAAAAATAACATAATTTGCTTGATCCAGACAAGAGCCACAGAATATATAAGTATTATCTATTAAAAGTAACTTCAAAGTGACCAGTCAAGAGCTAGATAAAATCTACTTTGGGTCCAAGGTACTGTTTTCAAGTCTAGGATGAAAATCCATGCCTACAGTTTGATGTTTACCCAGAAAACCTCGGCCACCTGCTGATACACGTGGTACTGATTACAAACAACAAACACGCCATTTTACTAGACGATTCCCCGGGGGGGCACTCCCATACATTACCTATACGGGTATGTGCCGCCCAACGGGGTCGTGATTTTGAAGCTCCTGATTTGGAACGGGGTATCCATTTCAGAGGCGTTTTCTAGAACGGGGTATAATATTTCGAACGCACGAAAGCTGCAGTACTCCGGATGATTATGAAGAAGCATTTATTTGATATATAAGTCGAACAAATAAAGAAACATCTTTTTAAAAAACAGGGCTATTTCAATTTGCAAACTTTCTTGAACCAGGAGCTCCTGCTAGAACGGAGTATAAAAAATTGGCCCATTTCTAGACCGGGGTATCAGTTTTAGGGCGAATTCTAGAACGGGGTATAAAAAATTGGCTCATTTCCAGAACGGGGTATCAATTTTAGGGGAATTTTTTTTAGAACGGGGTGCCAATTTGGAGTCCCAGGCGGCACATACCCACCCAAAAAATACCCAAGTACCCCCCGGGTATCAGCCATCGTTCTGGAAGTCACAAGCCCGCAACTGAAAACAGCTTAAGAGAAGGAGAACAAGACGCTGAAACGTAAATCCAAGACAGCGCAGAAAAGGTACACCATCGACGAAACACATTAGCGGCATAGGAAAACCAAGATCATGTTGTGTCCTTCTAACGTGAAACGTAAGAAAAATAAGGCGCCCAAGAGGTAAATTTTTCTTTATTAGTGAATAAGTAATTATTATGGTGTTTTTATTCTCGTCTTACATCTACTTCGGTGGAAGTCGATGGAATCACTTCAAGAACGGCATCTTTGTTGCTTTGTTGCGGAGACACTGCAATGTGTTCTTGGTCTTGGTGTATAGAATGTTGATCCTCCTTGACTTCATACTCATCAGCCAAACTTTGCTAAATGATTAAAGAAAATGGCGATGACATTTTCATGTAGAAAAAATGTAACGTTATTGCAGGTTTTCACTGTCACGCTATTAAAAATAAAAATCAAAAGCGTGTAATAGATAAAGTCTAGAATCTGGGAAATGAAAGAAAATAAATATACAAAGGCCCTCACCAAGATTCAGGTCGGTGCAATTTTTCATGCACGAGAAATTCGGAGAATTTTTTTTACCTACATTTATAGATATTTTTACCATACATTTGTATGGAGACGCAATGTTGGTACCCACCTGGATGGTCACTAATTATAACATGGCGGCCGGAAACCAACAGAAACATGTGTCACGGAGTTGTGCTACTTAAAGGGACAGTGTCCCGATTATGCGCACGCGCGAGCATCATCTGTTTTTTCTTCAAAAGACAATAGAACTGTCAAATTGACTCGACAAGATTTCCTTCCGGACCGCACCGCCGACAGAGATTTGTTGTTTATATTCTCAAGTAATATTTTAGACTTTCGAAGAAGTCTTTCGTCTTATATAAAAATTTGGCTCGCGGTTCGAAGACTCATCGCGATTTTATCGCTAGCTGGGCCGCCTCGCGACCCGAAAATCTCGTTCCGCTCGCTTTAAAAACATATTTTCTGATTTGAAACTCGTGTCAGAGGTCAATAGCTCCAAGTCCAGTAATATCTGCCTGATTTGCTCGCGTTCTAGCCTCAAACGTTTGAAAGACATAAAAATGCAATCTCAACGCTATGAATCATCACAAAGGTTAGTCAAAAATGATATCATGATTTCATGTCACTAGTTTTTCAAAACATGTAGCGCCTGTTTGTTCGATTTTGTCGGCCGTAGGGAGATTCATTTAAAAGTTTACTAACGCGTTGTTGCAAAACATTCTGCTTCACAAAGCTCCCCTCCACAAGATCTCCTCAGTCACATCAATGTCTCAACGGTTTCTTTCTTACAGTCTTTATTGTTGCTGTTTCATTTCTGCGTATTCCTTTCACAATTATCTGAGCTTGTATGGAAGCTAGCAGAAGAAATAAGCCTTCAATCGGTATCAAAGTGGTTCCAATCTTTTGGTCCTCCGGCCAACGGCAATAAAAGTAACGCCAAAAAATCCAGATTTTGCCCAAATCGAAACTTAACAGGAACAATATATCATTGATCTATAATCCTGAGAAGTTTTAGTGTCGTATTGAATCCGGCCAAGCGCGATGCAAACGGATTTTTCAAGATTCTCTTACTCTCCTCGCATCTTTTGATTTCGCGACATCCTGTCCAAAAATCAAAGTTTGGTGCATGCGCAGTAACGGGATACTGTTCCTTTAAGGGTGAATTCATCTCTTGAGGAACTCATTAACATTGACATTAATAAAATGACCATTCAGATAGCAAAATCCCCCCAACAGAGTCAATTTTTCAGCCTTCATGGCAGCTCTCTCGTCCGCCATGTAAATAGCCTACGAGCAAGCCCTCTGGGGCGCTCTGGCGGCTGGGCGGGAAAAGGAGGGAGAGCTTACAGCTTCGTCTCTGGAAAATGAATAAGTCGATGCAAAATGCTGATTGGCGGAGATGACATTAGTAATGACGCCATTACCCTTGGCACGTGTTTTGCAATGTTTGTTTACAATCGCGCTAGTTTCCGCTTCGCGCTGATTGGCGAAAATCTGACAGCTCAGTCGACGGGGAGCCACAGGTGAATTGAAGGTAGAATTCAAATTCCAGAGAGGTAGTTGCAAGCTCTCCTTTCTTTTCCCGCCTCGCCCCCAGAGCGCCCGGAGAGCTTGCTCGCAGACTACCATGTAAATGCCGCGTCACGCAAAAGCTTAGAAATTTCAGCGTACCGTATCACAAAACGAAGAACTTTTTCGCAGTGAAAATTTTTCTGAAAATTAGTTTTTAGCGGCTCTAATAATTCATGAAAGTAAGAACTCAGGAGGATCGATAATTCTTTCCTTTAAGTTTTTGATGACGTAATGTGTCAACCAGCAAATTCAAATGTGTGACGCAATCTCGCCTATAACTCAATAATGAAAACATGGAGTCAAGGTTAGACAGACTACTGAGCTGATATTTCTATTTGTGACCCCAAATTGCGATACGCTAGAACCACATGCAAGCCTTCATAAAATGTTACGCATACTAAAAAACGTTCGCAAACCAAAATGTTCCACTTCTTATGTCACGGTCGCTTGTAACACGCTCTCTTTCCACCTAAAGGTCACGTTTAACGTTACCCAGCGCACGTAAAGAAGAACGGTATTACATTACACCCTTCGTTACGTGAGAAAAGGAAGCGTATAAGGTTCAGGCCCCGTCCACACGAATCCGGATATTTTTGAAACCGCACGCTTTTTAATACGAATCGGCCTTCCATCTACACCAAAACGGTAAATCCGCTCACCGAGACCGCATTGAAACCCCTCTTCTGAGTGGAATTTTTTTATTAATTCGTCGGGTTTGGCGAGTTCGTAAAGACGACCGAAACCGGATATTTTTGAATACTCGGGTCCAGGCTTAAATGGGAACTTGAAAAATTTAAAGTAGAGGCCAACAACCCTCTGTTTACTTTCGCTCCAGACGAATGAATCGGCCTTTACCAAGTTATTTCTCTTTGACATTCCCACTTGAGAAGTGTATGAAATGTTACCCTAAAGCACTGGAACTGGGAAGGAAATACGGCCAGTGAAATCACACCGCTGGTCCGAGTGCAGTTGCAATTGCAAACCGCAGTAGCGTATGCGTGTGAAAGCGTGAAACCGGATACACCACTCCGAATTTATGTTGACGCAAAAATGAAGTATTCGGTTTCGCCGTATCCGGATTCGTGTGTTTTGTGGCCTTAAACACTTCCTTCTTACATCAGACAGATCGTGAGTGGCGGAAGCCATGTCCTGTGCAACGTCATCCTGGCGCAATAAAGCCATTTCCATCGTCACTTGTGTCTTCTTTTCCTTTGCCTTCGTCGAAACTTTGCTTTCCCGTCCTTCCTGTACATGTGTGTGAAGGGAAGACAGATTAATCCTCCCGTCCTTTCGATGAAAGGTTTTTTCAGGAAGAACATGACTAAAAGCGGTTGTTTCTTGGTGTTTCGGATGGCTGCAGTCACCAAATGACGTAATACAAAGATTGACAACAACACTATGAAACATCTTAAAGCAGTCATGCTTGTTGAGCCTCAAATCTCAGCAAGAACGGGACCGTGCCACTGGGTGGAAAATTCTCCCCGGTTTTTGAAAAGTGTATGAAAGTAATATTTAAATTAGGGACTGGTCATTATTTATCGCCTTGGGGGGGGGGGGGGATTTGGGGCTAAACAAGGTGAAATTTAGCCGATTTCCCCTTTGAATGTTACTTCACTGAAGTGATCTGGCCCCCTAATAACTTTTCATGTTTTTCGCGATCCCCCCCTGCCCTCCATGTCTTCATTTTCCAAGCAAATTTGAGTGGTTCCCCTCTGAATCCTTCCAAAGTTTCCAGTTATTCCCCCTTTTGGGTTCTCAGTTACAACTGATCCTCCTTTTGTTCTCCCAAAACTCAAGTGATCCCCCCTAAAATTGCCCGCTCCCCCCCCCAACCCCCCTTGGCGATAAATAATGATCGGTCCCTTAGAACACAAAATATACATGTAGATTCATTTGCCATACCTGCAAAGATTTATGGAATGCACGCGTGGGTGCTTCGATTGATCGTATTCTGGTATAGGCGTGACCCAGAAAGATTGCTCTAAAGACCTTTCATCGCCACCAGTAATAAAGCTACATTAACAAACAACTGAAAATTCTTTACATCAGACAGATCGTGGTTGGTATTGTGGATGGAGTCAATGGCTCAGCAAGTGATTCCTAGAGTTTTTTCGTTAGATTATTTTGGAGCACGGTAAAATAGTATAATTTAGAGAAAGATATGTCGAATTTTTCTTTCGCGGAAAATTATTGCTTAATTTTTAGCAAGCTTCCTCATTGTCTGCATGCCTTATCCACGTTCAATATCATTAAATTTAAGGGGAAAAAAAAGACGTTGTTAAGTATTTCTTTTCTACAAGATGGCCTTGAAAAGTCGACGCCAGATCCTGTCGGACATTATCATTGCTTTCTTTTGATAACGATAAATAAATTTAAGAAAAATAAAATGAAATAAGTATTTCCTTCATACATGATGGCCTTGAAGAGTCGACGCCAGGTACTGTCGGACCTCATCATTAATGCTTTTTTCTGACAAAGAAGTCAATTCCATGTTCTCGTTCGTCTGCTGCTCCTGCTTTGTCCGATCTTTAGCAGGTTTACTTTCCTATGTAAAAAGCAAAACAAAACAAAAACCGTAATTTATTGGCCCAGTACTGGCCATTTTTTCCGTTTAACCATTATCATTCTTTAATATAATATCAGTCGTGAAATCTTGTATTCTATCCGTTCAAGTATACCTCAATTTTCCACTCTGTTGCTACTTTATGCAATGGTCATTTAGAATTTCGGTGAATTAAAGACTAAAGGTCAACAACAACCAGATGATCTACAGCTGCCAGGACAAAAAGATATAGGAGAATTTTAAAATCTAGGTAAAACGTCTTACTCTAAATAAATAAATTTGACGATTAACTCATGATTACGTTTTGTGGTATAAAAAACACTTGTGAAGGCACAACAACAACGACAAACCAGTGAGGGTCAGCCGGATCTTTAGTAGGCCTGATACCAAATTTAGTTTTGTAGTAAGCCTACTTGATCCCCAAACCTCTCTCTGATTTTTCGAAACGTCTTTATAGTTCACTAATTCTTTCATAAATAGGCGCTTCTCCGTTCCCGGGTCATTAAATAAAGAGACAACTTTTGCATATTACACCTGACTAGTGCAATCGATAAAAACTGGTATCAAAAAATCAATTGTCAGCGCTATCGTTTTTAACTATTTTAACGATATTATCGATTGCCTCCCAGGTTCAAAATCCAATGATGTATTATTTTACAGCAAATTATATTAACAATATGCAGATGTCTTTTGTTTTAAATGACGATTTTCTCACATTTTTCTTTCCATTTAGTTGCGGAGTTCATTATCTACTTTGTTTTGCATATTTACAGAGCGATTTAAATGATTCTTTCCAATATGCTTTTTGAAGAAGCAATTTAAGGGTCTTGCTGAAAAACTGTACACTGAACACTATCCTCACCACTTGAACTATACATTGTAGGGTTCAACTTGAACAGTTTCTTGTGCAAGCAAGCTGAGTCAGTTGCTTATGACTCTTTTTTATCCTGTCCATTGGCCGAAAATGTTTTGTTAGAATATTGAGTGTAATTTGTGAAATAAATTTCGCTACAAATTTAACCGTCCATAGCCACATAAATAATGTACGTATGTTCGGAAACAACGTTCTTTGCCAATGTTAACCGAATTAAGTAAAAGCTGATTAAAATCGACAACTTCGATAAAAATCGATTAAAGTCGATAATTATCGATTAGCAACAACTTTTTCCTCTATCGATTTTTATCGATTTTCAATTTAATCAATCGCTCTTTATCGAGATTTATCCATTATTATCGATTATCGACTCTATCGATTGCACTAGTCAGGATTACACGAGAATACAAGCCTTAGCCACGTTTAAGTTGAGTTAAGCAGTTTTTCCATATAAAGTAGAAATGAACGTCATCTAAAATCTTTTAGCCCTCCTGGCTGACTTCTTTCATACTTCGTCATCGAGATGATAAGAAGTCGACGCTGTGTCCTCGCTGGTATCTTGTAGTAATGGGGTTATTTCCATGCTCAATTGAATTTTCTCCGCTTGCTTTATCTGTTTCTTAGCAAGTTTGCTGACCTGTGTGAAAATGAATAAATTAAGAAATCTAACGGATATGCAAAAAATCTTGCTAAGATTCAGGTCTGTGCGGGTTTTTCGTTTGCGAGGTATTCGGAGAAATGTGTTACCCAAATTTATAGAACTTGGTTTTGAAACGCCAGCCATGTTGGCGTCCCTCTGAGGAACACAGATATGGCGGCCGGAAACTAACAGAAACATTGCCATAAAGCGAGTACTCATCTCTAGAGAGCTCATAAACATTAAACTTAATACTTATTCAAAAAACAAGGACTGTTCAGGTAGCAAAATCTAAAAAAAAGATATGTCACTGTTTAAACTACAGTTACGTGACAACTTTTGTTGCCCCTTATTGTCGCGTCACGCAATATATTAGAATACTCAAACGTGTTCTGTCACAAAGTGAAAAACCCTTTCGAACTGAAACTTTGTAGAAATACACGTGCTCAGTTACTCTAATAGTTCACTAAATTGAAACTCAGAAGGATATATAATTCTTTATTTTTAATTATGATTGCGTTAAGTGCAAACCATTCAACAACAATCGGATGGGTAGATTAGATAGCTAGGACAACCAGGCATAAAACAAACAAGCACTCTGGGCACGGTTCCTGAAAGGCCGATTAGCGCTAACCCAGGGTAAAGATTTTGTTCCACTTTTTGTATTTACCTTCCTATGTCTTAGAGAAACATTTTGTGTGAGTCATTACTGTGTCTCAGAGTAAAAGCTCAACAGTATTTTGTAAGCTTAAGTTACATTCTCTTACCCGTGTGAAATACCTCCATGGAATGTCATGGAGTTCCATGGAGTTCCTTGAAGTATTGATGGAGTTCCTTGGAGGTCGATGGAATTCCATGGAATATCGTAGAGTTCCATGGAATGCCATGGGGTTCCCTGAAGTACTAATGGAGTTCCATGGAATGCCATAGCATTTTCATGGAGTTCGATAGAATACCATGCAGTTTCTATATATGAGAAAATCCATAGAAATTTAGAAATCAAGCAACTCATCAACTTCTTACCCACATGTTCAAGTCTGCACTTTTTATCGGATAGCAAAATAGGAAACATTTGGAAGCTTTCTAAAAGCAAAATTAAGTGCGTTTACTTTAAATTACACAGACAATGCAAAAGTATTGTTCACCGATGCTGAAAGTCCCCGTGTAAGAAATTTTATTGCTAACTATAAAGAGGAATGTTTTGTGTGCTTAATGAAAAAATGATCCTGTTAAAAAAATAAATATAGAAAATTGTTTTTAGTAGGGCTGTCTGCCATTTATCTTTTAAAATCAGTGTTGCATTTAAAATATGAGAAGATCACTGTTATTAACAACATGCAGTTGCTTCATTATATTGACATAGGACCCGTACACCGACGTGTATTTGCTATGACTGGATCAAGTCTCTACTTGAAATTTATATGAAATTTCTAAGTCTCATGAAATTTCTGATCAACAAATTTCCATGAAAGTGTAAGTCTCTTCAACCACTGTTCCATTTTTAAGGAAAAAATACAGTGGCAAATTTTGAAAAGAAGAGAAATTCAATGTGGCAAGATTGACAACCAATCCCGGGGCGTAGAATCCATAGTTCGTACAGTATGTTGCCCAGTATCCGGAGCGTACCAGTATCCGGACACTTAAAGCAAAAACGCAATTTTTGAGGCCCCTATTTTCAGCTATCGGTAAACGAAGTATTTCGAATGAAAGGTTTTGGCGAGTAGAAAGCTTGCGAAACAGTCGCAGAAGAGGCCGTTCTGTTCAGGTGAATAAACATTTCATGGCTAATATTTACGCTGTTTACTTCGCAGTAAAATTTGTGCTGCTCAGAAAAGGGTAGGTAATATGTGATATTTTCAAAGAAACGGTTTTATATTTAAAGTGATCATACTTAAAGAAGTCAGGTTATCAGAAAGTTTATTAATCTTACTTTCTTGAAATTCTATTTGTTTGGAATAACGGAGCTTAGAAACATGAAGAAATCAACACTGCAGGTCAGACTAAATAGGAGAGTGACCTTTGACCGTCGCATTGAGGTCCCTTCCCCAAGCTTTTTTTTTTTAAATAAAAATGAAGAAAAAAAGTCGTTTGCAGATTGGCTAATTGAGCTACCAAACCGCGGCTTCGGCATGTCCACGGATGCCTTCCTTAAATCAGTGAAAAAGTTCCTAGACAAGGAGGTGTATTATGCCATTTAACAACCTCTCGCGTTCCTCACCATACCCCAGTCATTTGCTGTGTTTTATTTCACTATGCTAGGTTATATTTTTGAAATCGATTGCCAGACTACTTTGCAAGTGCAAGAGAAGCTTATAAGTCGCTTGCCTGTCGAAATTTATGTACAATTGCGTTGTTATTGTTGTGTCCAGATACTGGGCCAGCTGTTCGGATACTGGGCAACATAGGAGCTCTGCAAAAACATTAATTTCTCGATGAAAACAAAGGCAAAAAAGTTAAACTGTCTTTTGTCATATTAAGGATGAAATAGATTTTCTCTGGGCCAAATTTCAGAGCTCTTGTGACTAACAAAGAAAAGTTATTGCAATGTTAAACTGAAGTGTCCGGATACTGGGCAACATACTGTAGCCTAACCATGGAGTAGTACTTGAACTAGCTGCTAGGTGGAGTTTGATTTTATTCATATAACAACAACCGTATACGCGTAACCCTAATTAGAAGCTAACCGTTTTGAGTCAGGGCTTTAATAATCCTAATCAGTTTAGTCAGAATCCCCGTGCGTATGAATAGCAAATACAAGACGATGTACGGGTCCCGTACTTAAATAGCCAACAGAAAATGATCCCACTAGGTACATAACTCTTCTCGGTATAAAAGTGTCTTTGGTGAGAGCTAAGATTTTCCCTATTACTCGATTCCAACCTGATTGATGAGATTGCTTTGCATGGAGTATTTCGGCGAACCTACACAAGGAATATTTGAGTTTTTATGCCGCATCCGTGGATAGGAGGAGCGTTGCGTGACGACAATAAAAACGTCTGTGTAGCAGACTATGAATAGGCCTGCTGCTTTTTTCTAAGGTTTCCTCACCTGGGAGGACAATGCAATATTTTCCTCTCACTGCTTTACTCTTGGACAGCGTCGGAATAGTACAATTAACTCTGAAAGGGACCACAATTCACAGCCTTTAAAGACAGACATGTTCTTCACGATCGAGCCGTGATTTGATGCCATGTTTGGTGCTTGAACTGGCTCCCAGGCCTCTCCGCTAAGTGACTTACGCGATCATGTGGGGCTTTTGAACCAATAGAAATGCGTAAAAGAGCAGTTTTCTTGGTTCAAATCTTAAGGCGGACTTCTGTGCAGTACGGAAGTAAGACAGTGTGGTGTAAACGGATTGTCTTTGCAATGAATGCATCCGAAAAAGATGTTCTTTTCACCGCAAAATAACACTTGTGAGGTTGCTTACATTTGGCTTGTTTCAAATCGACTTCGATCAAAGAATGACTCAGTTGAATCGCACATTAAAGAGGAAGGTTAGCTTAATATGTTCACAACTCGTGTTTGGTTGCTCAACCGGTCAGTATAAAACCGGTGTATGACATTTGCAGACTGCAGACTGCAGACTGCAGACTACAGACCGGAGACTGCATGAGGCAGCAAGACTGTTGATTGAATGAAACCAAAAATATCGTAATAAAGGTCATCATCAACATTACCTTGTTCGGAGAAGTAAGGCCTACAAGCGAAGTTTATATTTTTCATCCAAATTACACTTACCCCATTCCTAAAGGAGCGGTTGGCTGTTCTTTTCGTATTGAATTAGAGCACAAGAATGTCTGCCGATGTCACAAACTAGCTCATGAATCCAACAACAGTCTTGCAATTTAGCCTACACCACAGACGAAATTAAACTATGGTTATACAAGTCTGTCTGAAACAGCGCCGAAATCCTTATTCTAAAGGGGCTCCACCTGTGTACTAGGACTTGAGTATGAGCAATGATTTGCCTATTTAGAAATTCAAAATGCACTTCGGGTAATTTGTCGAGTCCAGGTAGGATCTGTTCGTTTTAGATTATTTGGCATATCCCTAAATAATGCTAAGATGAAAGACGTCATTTAAAAGGTGTTAAATGTCTTTGATCTACCCTACGGTAGTTGTTTTTGTCGACGTAACTGAAGTGAGCACGAAGTGCTAGCAATCTAAAAACTTTTATTACAGAAGACGACTATTTACATAGGCATTAGTGGGCATTGCTACTTGTCATTATCAATTCACAATAATCAAAGAAGAATAAAGAATCAACGCAATTAGTGATATGCCGGGTGAGTTGGGTAAGGGTGGATGAAGAATAGCCAACAGCAACTTGGGAATGAGGCCAATGTAACTTTGCGCAAAAATATCAACCTTGTTCCAGGGTACTTTGTCACTTTCACACGATGTTATATTTTTGATGTCACCTTTATTCGGAAGATTTTTGGAGTCATTTAATTTACAATCTGTGATCTGCAGTCTGCAGTCTGCAGTCTGCAGTCTGCAGTCTGCGGTCTGCAGTCTGCAGTCTGCAAATGTCATACACCGCTAGGTATAAAAGGCGGACTGCGGACTGCGGACTGGGTATAAAATACGAACTACGGACTACTTTGGTAAACACGGTGCTAATTGGTTCTAGGTACGGAAAAATATGATCAAAATATCGCTAAATAGCAAGACACGTGAGTTAAAATTGTAAATACTCCCAATAAATTCTTGGTGGAGGTGTGCCGCCCGGTTCTCTGAATCATGAGCCGGATCAAAATGCTATTTTCTTTACCCATTTTTAGACCTTGTCCCGGTCTCTAACAATCATGAAAAGGGTCAGGATCAGGGGGGTACTCCCTTACATAAGGGAAGGGTAGGGGTTTGGGGCCTTTTGGTCTGAAAACACTTTGCCCATTTTGGTCTGGAATCGGGTATGGTTTTCGAGGGAACTGCGGGAGCGTACATGAATGGACGTATTTATCGTTTCAATTCCAAATGAATAAGAACGAAATAGAAATGTGCGAATTCGAAATGCCTTTGGATAATTTTTTTGTTTCCGCTCTAACTCTGTAATGATGACATAATTTCTGCCTAATTAGACCTAACCTGTTCCAGGCTCCGAGATAGTTGGGTCCGCTGAGACAGCGCGAACACGAAAATAAAACGGGAGAAAACTGGGGAGTCTCCCCAACTTTCTTAGAGCCTGGAACAGGCTAAATTAGGCCAGGTCCGAAAATGGGTATGGATTTTAGAGATCTGGTCTGAAAACGGGTGTGGAATATGACATTTTTTGGTCTGCAATAAGGTCAGGATTCGGAGAACCGGGCACCACACTCCCACCAAGAATTCCCAGTAGTACCCCCTCCTGGGACCAGGAGCAGGGTGTAAGTCATGTCATCATAATCATCGTTTAGAATATAACGTTGGATAACTCATTTCGGTTATTATTCACGTATGTGAGTAATCCCTCCCCCCTAAATACTGCTTTTGTGCATCGCGGAATGCCCTACATTGACCTTCTCGTCTGGATTCTTCATTCAGTCCTCATAATCTCAAGGCTTTATTCGAAACGGAATTGTGACATCCGATAAGAAACTTACTGATCTGACTAACACCAATACTATTTTATCTAGTTCGGTGCTTCTTATTGGTTTAAAACTGCAAATTGAAATCTCTTCTAACTCCTTCTTTTTATAAAATTCAGAGTTTAATTTCGGTTTCCGTGAGTACCGGCATAACCTTCCTTCTCCGTGGGAAGAATAGACTACGGGAACAGCCAAGGGAATGTTAAAGCTGGGACTACTGTTTTTGCTAGTCCGCTTTCCATTTTTCTCAGTTTTACCTTTCTAAAGCTTTTTTTATATACATAGTCCGTAGTCCGCAGTCCGCGTTTTATACCTAGTCTGTGTTTTATACTCAGTCCGGAGTCCGCATTTTATACCTAGTCCGTATTTTATACCCAGTCCGCTGTCCGTGGTCCGCAGTCCGCAGTTGGTGTTTTATACTGACCGGTTGCTCAACTGAATTCGTCCGCTCGATTGTCTCTGCTCGATTTAGAAGGGTATGTTTTCGGGTGCTGTAAATCGGTCTTAATGCGTAGTTTCCATCTTTTTGTTTATACAGATATGAATGTGGTCTATCCTGCAAATTGCCATCTGAATCCTTTGGAATAATTACTTAATTAATTTGAAATCGAAGACTGTACTTCGATGGGCTGCTTCGTCTGGCTTCGAGGTATCAAGAAGAAATATCATATTTAGAATTTTCATGCCTGCTACGTAAAAACTATACAAAAAAAAAACTATTTTCCATCGAAATCCACGGAATTCCACAGAGGTTTTTCACACAGGTAGCAAGAAAACCGTGCTTAAAATCTCGCTTAATCCTGGGTTAAACTGAACCAGCTTTTTAGGAACTGGGCCCTGGATAATAAATGTTTTAGGACAGAGCTAGTATGGAAAGTTAAACTACAGTTTATTTACAAGCCTACATGATCTCTGGTCTCTCCTTGATCTTTCAGAACCTCTTTGTCAGCATAAGATCTCTCGGTAGCTTGAAGTTCTTTGATCTAAACATCAAGCAAGTAACAAAAATATAATTATCATTGTTAGTATTATCATTAAATGCTTTTATAATTTTGAAGGACCTGCGGTTGCTTAAATAAGTTGTACAAAATGTTCTGATAGTACCATAATAATATATTCGTTATGTTGTCTCCCTGTATCTGTTTCTTGATAATTTCGTCATTAACTAATTGCATAATTGGTCATGTCCTTACCTTTTTTCTTCTGCGGCGTAGCCACGTCAGCAGGTCACCACACGGAACGTATTCTATAACCAGGAACATTTTCTCCTGAAGCTTGCAGCATCCAACCATGGATACAACGTTCTTATGTGAACCCAACAGCTTCATCTGTTCAATCTCAAACGTGAACTCTGCTTTCCGTGCTTCAGATGGATTATCTAAAGATAATTAAAAACAAATGACATTGATTTTATTATCGTTATTTTTCAGCATTATTTCATTTGAAAAACATATTCGTCCATTTTTACCGCTTCCCACTCATCCTCTAACTACAAGGGTATATACAGATGTATTCTACCGTGTAACAGAATATCCAGAAATATTCAGACATTTGTTATTATTTTTAGTTTACTTGACTGCATGCACCCTCCCAGCAGCCCCGGGAGGTACTCCTGGAAAATTCGGGTGGTGGTGTGATGTGACTATGTGGTTTCCCTCACTACCTAAACCGCTGTTCATAATATATAACAATTATTCACCGAAGTGGAGGTGGCTAGTATTGGATATTTTTACCGACGCCGCGAAGCGGCGAGGTAAATATCCAATACTAGCCACCGACACTGAGGTGAATAATTGTTTTAGTATATACTAAAACAGTAAGATAATTGAGCACAAAATGATGATTTTTAACTCATTTACTGTTGCCAACGATTACAATTTTGGCGCGCGATGACCGAACGGCCGCGGTCGTCGCTTTTTCTTAGCGACAAATAAGGCGTTTGTTTAGCTCTTGCGGGGAAGTTTCTTCAAAAGGAGTTGTGAATTCTGTTTGTATTTAAAATAATTCTGTAAAAAAGATTATTGAATTTAGTTTTAAGCTTATTTATGAACCAGTCAACTAAATAAGGGTAACGCAAGACTTGAGCTTAATTTGCATTTGTAAACAAAAAACTTTTTCACCGGTTTTTTATCGATAACTATTCAAGTCAAAAAGACAAAGCCTTACCTGTTAAAACTTCCAAACCGAACTTCGTCACCTTCTTCATGTATTTCGGAAATAGCTTGCTTGATTAGTTGTGAAATGTATTAGTTTGTTACGGGAGCAAAAAGGGAAAGCATTTTGCTCGCAACCTACGCGAGTTTGGCGTCGCTCGCTCGGAGGAACTGGAGGTGAATCAGTGAATAGTGCAGGATATTCACTGATTGAGTAGCCAATCAGAGCGCCCAAAAACACTATCCACTGTTTTAGTATATACTAAATAGATTTAGCCCGGGCTAAAAGCGAGGCTCCCATTAATAGCGGAGCTCCACGCGCGCGCGCGTGGGCGGAGCCCCATAGCTAAGTAAATCTAGCCATCCCAGAAAATTTGGTTATCACGTGACCGTACACCGAACGAACGAACGTGCGACCGTCCGTCCGCACCACAGGCATACCAATGTTTACTCTCGCACTTTCTAGCTATTTTGGGAGCCCACGAGAAAACTGATTGCACGTCAATGCAGTGATCAATTGACAGCTGTCAAAACAGGGTATCCGCTGACCAGTATCACCTGACGGTATCGCGGGCTCAGGTGTCGACCCATCGAGGTCGAGTATTTTTTGAAGTTATCCGCTGACAAGTTACTACTTTTCAAATGATCGCAGGCTCAAGTTTGTGTTTTAAAAATTTATATGAAATATGTCGTGTTTATGTCACTATGGCCCAGCACTATTAAGATTTTGACTTCAAACTTACCTCGGACACGAAAATTCAGCCAGTTATTTAAAAATACGGGCGGGGAAGACCTTTTCTTACCATGGTCACGCGTTGGTCACGCTCTACGTCCAATTTTTATGCTCTGATTGGTTAAAATTTGACAGGTGAGTTCATGCGTAAAATTTATACAGCATCTTGAAAGTTGTTTACTTTCAAAGCTGAAGGTGACAGAGTTTTGAGTCAACTTATGATGTTTTTAACTGTCTTTTTCCACTGGATGTACAAAATGAAATACAGCTGCTATCAAGAGTGTTCTCCTATTCATGGCTAGTTTGTTTATTGGGTTTTTGGTTGTGAAATGCGTCGCTTGTCATAGCCGATAATCCGATTTCGGATGGCATCGTTTTTGTTTTTCACCTTGCTGGATGCGTACGAGAATTATAAAGGCTCAAGCGATCCTTGCCTTACTCGATAGCTTTCAGGAGCTGCATCTCGAAATATGGTAAGCCTGAGTAATTATTGTATTTATATCTAATTTCATGAAGTCCAGCGGCACAGTTTATGAAGCTAGTTTATGCACGTTTGTATTGAGACACTGATCTGACCTAGTATGAGGTTTAATTTGAAATAAGCTTAAGCTTACAGAACTTTAAAAAGCCTTTAGTCGATATTGATTCACCGTAAATAGAAAGAAAAAACTTTCCGAAGAATATTTAGCTATAGTTTTGGCTGTAGAAAGAAAGCTTTGAGCGATTTTCTTGTCGTGAGTTCATCTTTGAAAACGGCCAACACCGGGAAACCGGCGGCTTAAAATATAAACTTTAAGCTTACTAGTAAAGACTTGAGGATTCTTAGACACACTTAAATACTTATTTGTTTTCGTGAATGAAAATTGTTGTCTCTGTAAATGTTCTACCGAATTATATTTCTTTATTGATTTTTGGTAGTCTCAAAAGTGTAATTTTCATCGCTTTGCCGTTTGTTTTCAGTCGTTCATAAACATCGCTTGCAGGAGTACTCAAAATGCCAAGCGTATCAAACGCTTTTTAAGATTACACATCGTTATAAAACCATTAATAAAAAATAGACTCAATAAATTCTTTATCATGTTGAAGCTTAACTCTTTTTAAAATTTCCTCGCAAATTTGGCGCTTGTCAAAAGTTAGAACCGGCTGCCCGTATAGGTGATTTTGGAAATTTTTTGAACGGTCTCGCTAATTAAAAGTCCACGCGTGCTTCGATGGTCCTGAATATTGAATGAATGCAATTTGTCTTGAAAAATTGTGAAATACTGCATTTTGTACGAGGTCTGTATGATAAAAACAGCGCCTCATAGTACTCTTTCTTCTCAGATGTGGTGTATAAAAAAAATAAAAGATTGGTTTGCACGCACCCAGATTTATTGGCAAGAATTTGTAAACTTGTCGAACGCAAAGAATTCGGTCTGATTTGTTTTCCAAGAATTTGTTTTCCACGCCTTATCTACTGTGATCAAGAGCCATTATTGCTCTTAAATGTGACCGAAGACTATTTTTTGGGTGTACATATAAGGCTATATCAACTGGATACAAGATTTGTTTCACTCCAAAATCACTTAGCTTTTCCCTCAGAAGTCACATGAATGTGCCCTAAGTTAACTGATTTGTGGAATACAAAATTATTGTTTGATTTAAGTTATGAATTTATAGATGGTAGCTTCGCCTTTAGCTGTGGCTAAATCTATATATTATAATTTAAATCAAACAATAAACTTGTATTCCACAATTCAGTTAACTTTAGAGCACATAGCACATTCATGTGACTTTTGAGGGAAAGGCTAAGTGATTTTAGTGAAAAATAATTTGTAAACAGCCCAAGAGTGAACAAAATCTTACATCGAGTTGATAACCTCATATGTACACCCAAAAAATAGCAATCACCGTCAGATTAATCTTGCCAACAAATCTGGTTGCGTGTAAACCAACCTTTTATACCATTTATACATCACATCTGAGGGTAAACAGTACTATGAGGTACTGTTTTTACCATACAGACCTCGGACAGAATGCAGTATTTCACAATTTTGCAAAACAAATTGCACTCATTCAATATTCAGGACGATCAAAGCACGCGTGGGCCGTTTTAGCTAAACCGTTAAAAAAAATTCCAAAATCACATATACGGCCAGCCGGTTCTCACTTTTGCAGTGCGAGCTGCAGCGAATGTTTGAACGAACATACTAGAGTTAAGCTCCAACATAATAAAGAAATTATTATGTTTATTTTTTATTTAATGGTTTATCGATGTGTAATCTTTAAAAGCGTTTGATACGCACGGCATTTTGAGTACTCCTGCAAGCGATGCTCACTGAACGACTCAAAACAAACGGCACAGCGATTAAAATCACAAAAGAGACTACCAACAATCAATAAAAGAAATATAATTCGGTAAAACATATACAGCGACATTTTTCATTCACGACGACAAGCATTAAAGTGTCTCTAAAAATCCTGAGTCTTCAAGCTTAAAGCTTAAGTTTACTTTTTTCAAAGATGAACTCGAGGCAAGAAAATCGCTCAAAACTTTCTTTTACAGCCAGAATTATAACTAAATGTTCTTTGGAACGTTTTCTTTCTATTTGCTGTGAGAAAATGTCTAAAGACTTTTTAAAGTTGTGTAAGCTTATATCAAACCTGATTCTTGGTCAGATCGAATTGTCTCAAATCTTACAAACGTGCATAAACTACATAGCCGCATAAACTTCGCTCGACTTCATTAAATTAGATATAAAAAACAAACATCAAACACAATAATTATTGAAGTTTACCATTCGAGATGCAGCTCCTGAAAGGCATCAAGTAAGGCCAGTATCGCTTCAGACTTTTCAACCTTTACGCATCAAGCAAGGTGAAAAACGAAAACGATGCCATCCGAAATCGGATTTCCGTTTGACAAGGGATGTATTAATTTCTCAACCAAAAACCAACTAGCCATGAATAACAGAAGACTCCTGATAGCAGCTGAATTTCATTTTGTGCATCCAGTGGAAAAAGACAGTTAAAAACATCACAAGTTGACACAAAACTCTGTCAGCTTCAGCTTTGTCAAAGTAAACAAGATTCAAGATGCTGCATAAATTTTCCACATGAGCTCAGCTGTCAAATTTTGACCAATCAGAGCATAAAAAATGGACGTAGAGCGTGACCATGGTGAGCAAAGTCAAAAGCAACTGTCTTCCCTGCCTGTAATAGCTGGCTGAATTTTCGGGTTCGAGGTCAGTTTTAAATCAAAATTTTAATTGTGCGGCCCAAAAACAAAACATATACGAATAAAAAAAAAATCAAACTTGAACCTGCGATCATTTGAAAACTGGTAACTTGTCAGCGGATAACTTCAAAAAATACTTGACGTCGATGGGTCAACGCCTGAGCCCGCGATACGGTCAAATGATACTGGTCAGCGGACACCCTGTTTTGACAGCTGTCAATTGATCACAACATTGATGTCCAATGGATGTGTGCATTATCAGTTTTCCTGTGCTCTCAAACTAGCCAGAAAGTATGAGATTAAACATTGATCGCGATCTAGTAAAACAACTGGTCAGCGGACAGCTTCCAAATAAATCACGTCACCTTGATGAGTTGACACATGAGCCCTCGATATGGCAATGTGATACTGGTCAGTGGCTATCAGGTCAGTCACGTGACAACCAAACGAAAAGAGGTTGACTATATTCTATGAGTATGGGGCTCTGTCCCACGCGCGCTTCGCGCTCGAGGGAGCCCCGCTAAAAGGCGAATGAAAAAATAAATAGATAGATGCATAAACAAATAATAAACCAACAATAAAATAAATACAATAAATACAGCCCTGTTACAAGGTAGAGCTAAACCTAATCCTGTTTCACGTTTTATCTGTTTTTCCCAAATCGCGGAAATCTTTTCCCAGTTTCACACATAAAGGGGTCAACAACCATGTCCTTCGGCCCCGCTCACAATTGTATAACTTCTATAAGAGAGTAGCCCCTGGGTCTAGCCCTCAGCGTGGTGATGTCGTAGCTCAGTTTCATAATTTGTTTTCCCTTCTCCTCACTATCAAATGACTTGCGGTGTAAACTGGGCAACATGGATCACAAAAAGGGCAGACCAAATCATCAGATGCATCCGATCCTTTAGAAAGAGTTGTCATACATGTATTGACTAAAAGCTGCATTGTTGAAATTTATTTTCATTATTGGCTTTAATTCAGGCCCTGTAGATCAATTTACTTTTTTTTTCGGTTTTGGGGAAAAGTAAATTCGTAAGAGATGCATTTGTTTAGAGCTAATAGGCTTAAACCTGCTTTTTGGAACTTAACAGCCTTTATTATTTTTTCACACTTACATAGTGAATAAAGAAACCACAAATTACTTGCACTTCCAACTTTTCCGTGCTCTTCACCAACGAGAGACAATCCCGATTTTAAAAATGCAATGTCTTTAGGTGGTGTAATTTGTTTTAATATCATGCGATCACGTCTTCGAAAAGAGTCGAGTTTTTTTTTTCTGTTAAAGTTCCCAAAGAGTTACTTAAATCCAAAAGGGTTCTTACAGTAATATGAAGAGGACTGCCAGGCAGTTAAGACTTTATGCCTTTGTCTATGGAGATAACAGTCAGTATTTCTTACCATGTAAAACTTTGACAGCCACCAGCTGTGGTGCTTTCGGCTTCCTGGTTGATACAGGCCAAATTGAAGTCTTAGTGACCAATGCCTCCATCTCATCACTCTTTCTAAAGATTGCCTTGTGAACAACACCAAATTCTCCTCTCCCCAGCTCTTCCTCAAACTCTATTTGCTCAGGCAGAATTTCCCACTTGTCAGGAGGAGTAATCTCGTCTTGTGAATAAGATGACCTAGAAAAAGGGAAAAAAAAGAATGCCGGCCAGTATTACGCTGAGTTCAATATTATAGTAACATATACTCGCATATCTGTAAACTTTACCAACAACCAAAATTATTGCACCTGGCCACTGGTGCATCGGCGGATAATGGCCGAAGGTGAGACGTAAAAAAGCTACATCAAAATAGCCGAGTGGGGATAAAAGAAACTGTTTTTTTTTCTTAAAGGACGATTCAGTCAAGGGCACCATCCTTCACAAGCAATGACTAAAAAAAAAAATAATTTATTCAGTTCATGTCTAATTCACTTTAGGCATATCTAAGAAGCAAAATTCGTCTTCATCAGACTATTCTTAGGATTTTTCATTTTTTTTTTCATGCATCATTCGACAATAAAAAAATTTCTTTGATTATTTTTCATAAGAATTGCAAATTAAGTAATGGTTTTGAATTCTGGTTAATGTTATCTGTCATCTTGGCAGGTGCACTACGTCGGTTTTGTTGACACGTGATGTAATTTAGCCAATAACCTCAAGGGGAGCGAAGATTAATCGCTACGTTTACATAAAGAGACAAAACAAAAGCCTTCCTTAGTGTAAGATTTATTTCTGTATGTATGTAGCTAGCATAGCTGGAGAGATTCTTTGGTGTGTTTTTTCTTCATTTTGTGGTTTGCAAAGTAAGAGATACAGCCGCGTGAACACGGCTGAACCGAGGTTGAAACAGAAAACGGGGGATGGGGCGAAGGGAGAGAATAATTACCAGGAAAGCGCTAATAAAAAAACATTAAACGATCGTAAACAAAAAAACTTTGGCGCGGCATTTTGTCGGCTGACGTCAGACCTCAAAACATGTCACATCATCCTTTCATAAAAACTGGAAGGCGCGTTTTAAAAACTTCAAGGGGTTGAGTATTGGAGGTTTTTCTCACTTGCTTATCTCCTCGCCCCCTTCCCTATCATTACTTTTTCGTCCTCGGTTCGGCTTTAGCGCGGCTGACTCTCTTACTTTACCAATTGCAGCCACTGAAAAGAAAAAAGAAGCAAACAGAAAAACCGCCAGCCACGCATTAGCAGAGCTCCACAAACCTTTCAAAAGTCTTTAGCTTCTTTCTTCTGTAGCACCAGACAAAAATAGCGACCAACAACATCAAAATAGCGGACGTGACACCAAGTGAAATGTAAATAACTTTGTTAATGACGGTGGAATTTTCTGGTGCAGATGCGGGAGTTGTGGTTTCTATGACGGCAAACAAAATAAATATATCAGACTGTGATCAAAGGTACTGGACTATAAATGGAAGTGGGGAAGTTTTTTCCAATAATATGCGGCCAGATTAAAAAGGTTACAGACATGTTAGAGCTTATATAGTGTTAAAACCTCTTCTCTTACTACACTGTCACTTGTTGACAGTGGAACTTGTCCACTCGCACTACGCTTCGGTGAGGACAAAAGCGGGTCTTAGCTGGCTAACTGAGCTTGTTCACTCGTGTCCTATGTAATTATAAGATCCAGTCGTGATGGGAAGGCATTTACACAAAAAAAGGAACTTGTGTAAGCACAAAATATGGCAAAATCACCTCATAAAATGAGTCCGTTACCTTAAAATTGGGTAAACACAAGTTGAAATAGCCGAAGACTTACCGTGTTTGTTTCTAATCTGTCAATCAAACCGACGCTGGCGAGACTGTTTACTAAGTTAATTCAAAAGTAATTATCAAGGGAGGAACGACGCGCTCTAGCCCAAAGAGCATACCTGCCAACTCTCCCGGTTTTCCCGGGAGTCTCCAAGTTTTTCATCAAATCTCCCGATCTCCCGGTTAGAGCACCAAATTTCCCGGATAAAATAGACTTTTGAGCATTTCTGTGCTTTAGTTTGAAATTTAGTCCATTTTTTCACAAAATTCGAACTTCTTTTATTCATTGTACAGTTTCTGGGACATTTTTGCACATGTTTAGTCAATGAGAAAGATTAGTTCGTCATTACAATGATGAAAGCGCATTTTGATCCCATGTACGTCATGTAAGACGTCATATCATGTCGTAAGGCAATTTGTTGGCGCGGGAGGGGGTGGAGTGGGGGTGTTGGTGCTGTTGACATTCGGGGGTGGGGAGGGGGTGTAGTGCAAAATAGAGACTCTCCAGATTTTAGATCTCCGGAGGTTGGCAGGTATAAAAGAGTCACATTATCTTTAGTAAAACAATGATTTGTAACAGATACTCAGCTAGCTCTGCGAAGCTTGTGACGGGAATAGTGCGTTTATTTCGAAGTAATTGTCTTCTGGGAGTCCAGAAAAGAATATCTTTGGACGCGGCCATACTATGCAGCAAATCAGAAGTGCGCTTTTCCGGCACTGTGCCGGAAAGATGGCTCAAAACATCTTTTATTCTTGGTTCTTTTTTCATTCTCGGTTATTCATCCTCGCTTTCATCACCAGAACTTTCGTTTTCTTCATGTTCACTCTCGTGTTCTACTTCAACCAAATCTATCTTTCTCTTCATTTTGATGAGTACCCGTGACAGACTTAGCTTCGAACGATCAACCTAACGAAGGGTCACCTCTAATATAGCACTAGAGATCCCAAGCTTGAAACAACAGAGGCCAATACATCTTCAGTAAAACCACTACCCTCTTGTACAAGGACTCGCTTTTTGTTTTTAAGGGACATTTGGACTGGCCAGGTCAAGTAAAGCATCCTTATATGGCAGCAATATCCGCTTATTTTCTTCGAGGATAGGAATGTGTCCCATAAGTACATTGTATAAGACTTGGACTAGTGCATGTAGTTTGTTGTGGAGTAGCTGTCTTTAAAAGAAACTGGCGCTGATAAGCAGGGCAATCAGCTAACACGAGACATTGCTTCAAAATGAACTAAAGATGGCAGTTGGCAGTCTTTTATAGAATCTCGTGGAGAAAAAAAAAATGAAACGAGTGGGCGAAGGATAGAAAACAATAGAATGAGGAGGAGGGAGGAGGAAATGAAAAAAAAAAATAGAAATGAGGAGGAGGAGGAAGGAAAAACAATAGAAATGAGGAGAAGGAGGAGGGAAAAACAATAGAAATGAGGAGGAGGGAAAACAATAGAAATGAGGAGAAGGAGGAGGGAAAAACAATAGAAATGAGGAGGAGAAGGAGGGAAAACAATGAAAACCTGTATAAATGGGCAACATTCTAGCTTATTCTCAGTCTCCATTTTGCTCCTGAAGAGTTGACATGAGTTGGTTCTGTTCTGTCTGCGAAAAATCCTTTATTAGAAAAGATAATATGCAAAGGCACGTGATGTCTAAACACCGCAATGCTGGTCTCACCCCATTTCAAACAGTTCCAATGTTTTGCAGAAAAAGGTCAGCGGCCTCGCTTCGAGTATCCTTTCACCTCCATGATTGCCAGAATGACCGGGTCCGGAAAAACGGCCTGGGTTCGATCTCTATTGCAACAAGCTTCAGAGACCATTTACCCTCCCCCGGAGAGGATTGGTATTATTCACAACGGCAGCCTGCGTATACACAAATGTTAGTCGCCATGCCACACATTGAATTCTTCAAGGGAATTCCTACGGCTTTGGAGCCGTTAACAAACGGAATTTGATCGTGTTTGATGATCACATGATTGACGCCAGAAAAGACAAGCGAATTGTGAACCTTTTTACTCATGGTTCTCATCATCGCAATCTGAGCGTGATTTATATCGTGCAGAATCTATTTCATCAGGAGAAAGGTAGAGCCTAAACAGCCATTATCTGGTGATATTCAAGAATCTACGAGACAAATTGCAAATCTTGACTCTGGCGACGCAAATGTATCCTGGGCAGACGGATTTCTTTTTAAATCAGTACGAAGAGGCTGTAAAAAGACCTTTTGGTTATCTTCTGATTGATCTGAAAACTACTACCCAAGATAATTGTCGGTTGCGAACAAATGTCCTGCCCAGTGAAGAAGGCTTTAACCATGCAGGGTTTCAAGAAAATATATATTCCTCAAGAGCTTCTAAGATATCTGAAGTAACAAATTCTTTCGCCTGTCCCGCTTCTTCCAGCTATGCAAGAAATACAAGGCAACATAGCTGACGTGCTTTCTCGAAACGATCTTCGGGACGATGAAAAAGCTAAACGATACTGGCTTTTAAAGAACAATTAAATACAAGAACACGACCGGAAGAAATAATCAGCACTGTTCCCGACTTAACATAAAGGACACAAGATTCTTCGACAGCAACGATAGCATTCTCCACTCCCCTCAACCCCTTTAATGTAACACCTGAATTAACACAAGCGGCTACCCCTCCACCACCCTTAAACCTGCTTTCCTGATCCCTCCCCCCACAGTAGAAACCCCATCACAACAAGGCCCAAAAGGCGTCGGATTCAATTTGTAAATTATTTGGATGATCATAAAGCTCATGCCAAACAGCTGAGGAAACGTCGGCATAAGAAATTCAAACCTTACAAGTACTCCATGGGCGAAGAAGATGAAGATAAATTAATTTCCACTGATTCCTTACAAATCGCTGTGTATATGGCTCTTTTTGTCATTGTTTTTAATAAAGTTTTTAAAATGGTATATCTCTTCTTGTTTTTTTGCTAGCAATTATTAGTCGCGTGTTTTAATTGATCCTTGTTAAGTTATTTAAAATTGTTTATATGATAATACGTCAAGATTCTCTACCTTGGGTCTTTCCTGTAGAGCTAATTTGTATTCAACTTTGGGCTTGTGAACTCGCATAATTAACTGACCAACGCGGTGCATGAAACTCTGAGACTTTAATAGTTTTCACTTCCTCGAGATAGAACGGAGAAAACGGTTCTGAAATAGTCAGACAAAATTGAAATAGAGAGTTTTCAGCTCCACAGTGTGAATACGTGTGTTTGTTTTGTTTATATATCTGAGTTTTAGCGCTAAATAAGAAGACATAAACTAAATAGAAATAAGGACTTTTCAACTCCACTTGCTGTATGTGTTTTGTTTATATATCTTAGTTTTCGCGCTAAATAAGATATAGGAAGCCGTTTCTCGCGT